TTAACTGTAATTATTTAAAAGTAATATACTTTTAAATGTATTAAACTGCAACTTCATCCTTAAAGGTGCAGTCTGTAAGAATGACTAGTGGACAAAATGGGTACTGCAGTCCAATTCTAAATACCGGAGATCGTGGTTTCTCCCCCCACCTGCTCCTCAGACTGGACGGCACTCACACGGGTTGCCAGTTTTAGCACACTCAACAGGAACGAGCGCGATGGACGGTGAAAATTGGCAAATAGGCAACGAGCAGTATCACAGACCAAAACAAAAACAAACATACCACCCTGGAAACGCACATTTCAAAGTAAAATAACTGGCTGTAGAAGTGTTTTTGAAAGAAACAAGTATGCGAACTTAGCATGTTTCCTCAATATATGCAAACATATGATGGTATTTTTAAGCTTTAGTAGAGTGAAAAATTTACATACAGCACCTTTAAGTTTCAATAGAAATTAAAATATATTTTAGTTGACCATAATTGCTTGTGAGTACATTCGGCAGTAAACTTTGACCATATTTCAAAGACGACAGAAGTAATTATGAAAATTTACTTAAGACCTACTTAAGTGGTTCAAAATCCCTCTAAAGTTCAGCAATTTGCATTTAATCTAATTTAATTTTAATTATATTTCATAAATAAAATTTATATTTAACTGCAAATAATTTAAGTTTCATTCTACTCGACTGTAGCTGACGCTTTGACACAGCTCACTGACATGATTGCTCGAGCCACGGAAAAGCTGAATATTGACTGGCCAGAAGAACTCAGGATGTTCAGCGCTTCCCGAGTGGCTCTCACTCCTGCTCAGCGTGTAGAAGCTGCCATTCATCAACGATCTTCACATCAAGGTGTCAAGATTGTGGAAGCAGCTACTCAGCACGACTTCACCAGCCTCATTGGTTCAGTGGAGCAGGGCTATGCTTGCATCCCGGCAAATAAGTACACCTCTCACCCTGGATCTCTCGGAGTAAGATCTCTCCCACTGAAGGAGCCTGCTAAGGTTGGTGAGACGTTGAGTCCATCACCTCTGTGCTTCAGCAGTCTAGTAGGGTAATTCAGCAACACTACCGGCCTTCAGCAACACAGAGCCGTCTCTGATTCGTTTGTCAGGAAGCAAAGGGCCAAAATGCCAAAGCATATTCGCCTTTCTCTGAGCTCCCCTCCAGAGCCAGACCTGTCAGACTCGCCGCAAGACCTGCTTTCGTCGACAGTAGGCTGGTTGTACGGTCAGTAAAGCAAAATACTTCCATGCGCAATTTTGTTCTTGGTTGCTGGAAGCCGTGCATCATGTCTGATTTCATAAATGTGTCAGACGAGGGTTGTGCCCCCAAGAATTATGCTTTCTTCCCTCAGTGGGGATTCAAACATGAGGTCCACTGTTTCCTGGGGATGTGAAATGTTTTCCCCCGCAGTGGAGCCCTGAATTCAGACATGTGCATCCGAGAACCTCTCATCTTGGGCGTTGTCCATAGGAGATGCAGAAGGCTTTAGATGCAGAGTGCCAAGAGTGATGCAGAGTGTAGCCCTACGGTACAGTACAGTAATTATTTCCGTTCCGATTGTCAGAAGTTGTAAATGGTACCAAAATACTGAACCATACCATACCACTTTTTTGGGACCCTTCTGTTGAGGTACATAGCACAGTAGTCCAGTACTAAAGGGTGGAGCTAGACTCACTGCAGAACGTTGATTGGTTGACAGAGAATCGTCACTTGCGCGTGCAACAAGGGGAATCACAACGTCATTTTTTAATACAGTTGAAATACAATACTACTGTTATTACGAAATGTAGTTTTAAGATTTTTCAGGTGAGAATGTAGTTGTTTAAAGCTCAAATCTGTGGTTTCATTATAAAGTTAGCGCCTATTTGAAAATTTGATTCACCGGGTGCTCCGCGCTCATTAACCCTGCCTGGAACAGCCTTACCCTGGCTAGTCCTTATTAGAGATGTCTCTAAACATTAGATATAATTCGTCTTGTGTGTATTTAACGGGCGATCTTTGGTCCCAGGCAGATCTTGTTGGCTGAAGGCAAAGTGAAGTTCATAACTTTATATATTTAGGCTATTTTACTTTACTGTTGTAGCCTACAGCGTTGACTTTGTGTGTTTGACTGAATTGTTCCTTAAAGGAGAACCCCGGTCAATTTTAACATTGAGCTCATTTTTTTGTACATTTGGAGTGCTGTCAGTACAGACAAAAACGACAAAAATCGGTGTTGCCTACACCTTGTTATCCTCTTTTTAAAATTTGCACCCTGTTGACTTCAATGGGGCAAGTTCTAAACCTGCTTTTAGCCTCTTAACAACTTTAATATGTCATTACAAGTGTACAGCCATGTGAGTGGTGTTATTAAGAGTGACCACGGTCAATCTGACTTCAGTAGATGTGCAAGATATTAATAAAAATGATGTTAATTCAGCCAGCTCACATACCTGTATTTCCTTCCTGTTTTCGTTCGAAGTCCACAGTAGTCAATTGTCGAGTTTGCGCGCGCGATCATTAGTTATATTAGTTACCAATGATCGCCAGCGCGAAGTCAGTGGATATTATGGATCCGCTGATAGACGCCTGCTTTTAAACGCTCCCGTGTGTATCTGTGTAAGCGCTTGGTGAAGGCGTCAAAGATGTCATTGTTGATCATTGTAGCCAATCAGAGACATATGTTGAGCGCATGAACACAATGGCCAATCACAGACATATATGTTGAGCGCGTGAACACAATGGCCAATCAGAGACATATACACTCACCTAAAGGATTATTAGGAACACCTGTTCAATTTCTCATTATTGCAATTATCTAATCAACCAATCACATGGCAGTTGCTTCAATGCATTTAGGGGTGTGGTCCTGGTCAAGACAATCTCCTGAACTCCAAACTGAATGTCAGAATGGGAAAGAAAGGCGATATAAGCAATATTGAGCGTGGCATGGTTGTTGGTGCCAGACGGGTCGGTCTGAGTATTTCACAATCTGCTCAGTTACTGGGATTTTCACGCACAACCATTTCTAGGGTTTACAAAGAATGGTGTGAAAAGGGAAAAACATCCAGTATGCGGCAGTCCTGTGGGAGAAAATGCCTTGTTGATGCTAGAGGTCAGAGGAGAATGGGCCGACTGATTCAAGCTGATAGAAGAGCAACTTTGACTGAAATAACCACTCGTTACAACCGAGGTATGCAGTAAAGCATTTGTGAAGCCACAACACGCACAACCTTGAGGCGGATGGGCTACAACAGCAGAAGACCCCACCGGGTACCATTCATCTCCACTACAAATAGGAAAAAGAGGCTACAATTTGCAAGAGCTCACCAAAATTGGACAGTTGAAGACTGAAAAAATGTTGCCTGGTCTGATGAGTCTCGATTTCTGTTGAGACATTCAGATGGTAGAGTCAGAATTTGGCGTAAACAGAATGAGAACATGGATCCATCATGCCTTGTTACCACTGTGCAGGCTGGTGGTGGTGTAATGGTGTGGGGGATGTTTTCTTGGCGCACTTTAGGCCCCTTAGTGCCAATTGGGCATCGTTTAAATGCCACGGCCTACCTGAGCATTGTTTCTGACCATGTCCATCCCTTTATGGCCACCATGTACCCACCCTCTGATGGCTACTTCCAGCAGGATAATGCACCATGTCACAAAGCTCGAATCATTTCAAATTGGTTTCTTGAACATGACAATGAGTTCACTGTACTAAAATTGCCCCCACAGTCACCAGATCTCAACCCAATAGAGCATCTTTGGGATGTGGTGGAACGGGAGTTTCGTGCCCTGGATGTGCATCCCACAAATCTCCATCAACTGCAAGATGCTATCCTATCAATATGGGCCAACATTTCTAAAGAATGCTTTCAGCACCTTGTTGAATCAATGCCACATAGAATTAAGGCAGTTCTGAAGGCGAAAGGGGGTCAAACACAGTATTAGTATGGTGTTCCTAATAATCCTTTAGGTGAGTGTATGTTGAGAGCAACAACACAATGGCCAATCACAGACACATATGTTGAGCGTGTCAACACAATAGCCAATCAGAGGCGTTTATGAATCAGTTCAACAGCGCTCAAAATGCTAGAGGGAAATGCTGGTATCGTCACATTTTTTTTTTATTTCAGTACCGTCTTTTTTACAACTCTACGTATAAGTATATTGGTTGAATCGTCATATACTGATGATTCAACCAGGAGCCTGGTTTGTCAAGTCAAGTCACATTTATTTATATAGCGCTTTTTAAAATACAGATTGTTTCAAAGCAGCTTTACAATGATAACAGGAAAATAATGCAACAAAGTTTGTTTCCAGAAGAAAATAACGCCTTAGTCCAGCTTAAGTAAGTTCAGTGATGTTTAATTTTTTTTGGAAAAAGTTATTAATTTAGTTCATTTGTATATAGCCGCTCTGGAGAAAACAGTGATGTCATCGTCCAGCTCAGTTCAGTTCTCATATAATGGTGTCAATGCAGGCTGATCAATAATTTAGTTAAATGTCCCCAACTAAGCAAGCCAAAAGCCAAAGGCGACAAAGGTGAAAAAAGGCGACAGTGGCAAGGAACCAAAACTCCATCAGGTGACAGAATGGAGAAAAACACCTTGGGAGAAGGTTTGTTACAGTGGATCTGAAAGTTACTTATTTCCATATTCAGATCATCCTGAGACACAAGACGTTTCTCAGGTTCGTGTTTGGAAGTAAAGAGTATCAATATCGACCATCAGCAGCACCCAGGGGTGTTCTCATAGTGTCAGCTACCAAAGTAGCATCTTGCTCCCAACTCAGGGATATCTTATATGCGTAATCCAGACATTTTTGGTTGTTCTAGTGAATAAAATTGTTGCCCTTTTTTAAAACCTTTTTTTTTTCCTTTCTCAAAGCAGAACTTACATAGAAATCTCTATTGAAGAAAATTCGTATAGCGAATAATGACCCCAGAATATATTTGTCAAATACATGCCAAACTTCAAACAACATTAGGCATTGCCAGATCATGTGAATAGACTCACTGTTCTTGTTGCTTGTTGGAGATTGAGTCCTGCACTCAGAGAGCAGAGCACTGAGCCACGTCGCCTTCATCTGTCCGAGGCGGAAGCTCCCGAGGCACAGGGCGCTGTTGGTGCGGTCCAGGCCCAAACGCCTGAGCAGGAGCGTGACCTCAGGGTCCTCACCCCTCCTGACACACACGCTCAGAGCTCCACGCAACTGCTGCTCATGAACACCTGCAGAAACCAGCAGCTCCAGCAAGGCCAGAGGAGCCCCCCGATCACACACCTGAACAAACACAGCAACATCTTCAGTGCTAGGAATGACAATAAAGATCCGGTTATAATGTTAGTCAAGCTTTCTTGAACAACGGTTGTGGAATGAGAGCAAGTGGATGCTGTACACTGGTGGTGTTTGAGGAGAGACCCCCTGATATGATTGTAAAGCGATTTGGGTGTACTGTAGTAGTACATAGTAAAGCTAATTGAGATCCATCCATCATCAAATTCCATCCATCCATCCATCCATCGTCCATCAGTCGATCGTTAATCATTCATTCATCCATCCATCCATCCATCCATTGATCATCAAATTCCATCCATCGTCCATCAATCGATCGTTCATCATTCAGCCATCCATCCATCATCTCTAACCATCCATCCATCCATCGATCATCCATCCATCGATCATCCATCCATCCATCCGTCCATCAGTCGATCGTTCATCATTCATCCATCCATCCATCGTCCATCAGTCGATCGTTCATCATTCATCCATCCATCCATCCATCCATCCATCGTCCATCAGTCGATCGTTCATCATTCATCCATCCATCCATTGATCAGCAAATTCCATCCATCCATCGTCCATCAATCGATCGTTCATCATTCAGCTATCCATCCATCATCTCTAACCATCCATCCATCCATCAGTCCATCAATTGATCGTTCATCGATCATCCATCCATCCTCTCTAACATCCATCCATCCATTAATCGATCGTTCATTGATCATCCATCCATCCATCCTCTCTAACCATCCATACATTCATCAATTGATCGTTCATCGATCACCCATCCATCCATCCATCCTCTCTAACCATCCATACATTCATCAATCGATAATTCATCGATCATCCATCCATCCTCTTTAACCATCCATACATTTATCAATCGATCGTTCATCGATCATCCATCCATCCATCCATCCTCTCTAACCATCCATACATTCATCAATTGATCGTTCATCGATCATCCATCCATCCATCCTCTCTAACCATCCATACATTCATCAATCGATAATTCATCGATCATCCATCCATCCATCCTCTTTAACCATCCATACATTTATCAATCGATAATTCATCGATCATCCATCCATCCATCCTCTTTAACCATCCATACATTTATCAATCGATCTTTCATCGATCATCCATCCATCCATCCTCTCTAACCATCCATACATTTATCAATCGATCGTTCATCGATCATCCATCCATCCATCCATCCTCTCTAACCATCCATACATTTATCAATCGATCGTTCATCGATCATCCATCCATCCATCCTCTCTAACCATCCATACATTCATCAATCGATAATTCATCGATCATCCATCCATCCATCCTCTCTAACCATCCATACATTCAGCAATCGATAATTCATCGATCATCCATCCATCCATCCATCCTCTTTAACCATCCATACATTTATCAATCGATCGTTCATCAATCATCCATCCATCCATCCTCTCTAACCATCCATACATTTATCAATCAATCGTTCATCGATCATCCATCCATCCATCCATCCTCTCTAACCATCCATACATTTATCAATCGATCGTTCATCGATCATCCATCCATCCATCCTCTCTAACATCCATACATTCATCAATCGATCGTTCATCGATCATCGATCATCCATCCATCCTCTCTAACCATCCATACATTCATCAATTGATCGTTCATCGATCATCCATCCATCCATCCATCCTCTCTAACCATCCATACATTCATCAATTGATCGTTCATCGATCATCCATCCATCCATCCATCCATCCATCCATCCTCTCTAACCATCCATACATTTATCAATCGATCGTTCATCCATCCATCCATCCTCTCTAACCATCCATACATTCATCAATCGATCGTTCATCGATCATCCATCCATCCATCCATCCTCTCTAACCATCCATACATTCATCAATCGATCGTTCATCCATCCATCCATCCTCTCTAACCATCCATACATTCATCAATCGATCGTTCATCGATCATCCATCCATCCATCCATCCTCTCTAACCATCCATACATTCATCAATCGATCGTTCATCGATCATCCATCCATCCATCCATCCATCCTCTCTAACCATCCATACATTCATCAATCGATCGTTCATCATTCATCCATCCATCCATTGATCATCAAATTCCATCCATCCATCCATCGTCCATCAATCGATCGTTCATCATTCAGCCATCCATCCATCATCTCTAACCATCCATCCATCCATCGATCATCCATCCATCCATCATCCATCAATCGATCGTTCATCATTCAGCCATCCATCCATCATCTCTAAACATCCATCCATCCATCGATCATCCATCCATCCATCCGTCCATCAATTGATCGTTCATCGATCATCCATCCATCCATCCATCCATCCTCTAACATCCATCCATCCATTAATCGATCGTTCATTGATCATCCATCCATCCATCCTCTCTAACCATCCATACATTCATCAATTGATCGTTCATCGATCATCCATCCATCCATCCTCTCTAACCATCCATACATTCATCAATCGATCGTTCATCGATCATCCATCCATCCATCCATCCTCTTTAACCATCCATACATTCATCAATTGATCGTTCATCGATCATCCATCCATCCATCCTCTTTAACCATCCATACATTCATCAATCGATCGTTCATCGATCATCCATCCATCCATCCATCCTCTCTAACCATCCATACATTCATCAATCGATCGTTCATCGATCATCCATCCATCCATCCTCTCTAACCATCCATACATTCATCAATTGATCGTTCATCGATCATCCATCCATCCATCCATCCTCTCTAACCATCCATACATTCATCAATTGATTGTTCATCGATCATCCATCCATCCATCCATCCTCTTTAACCATCCATACATTCATCAATTGATCGTTCATCGATCATCCATCCATCTATCCATCCTCTTTAACCATCCATACATTCATCAATCGATCGTTCATCGATCATCCATCCATCCATCCTCTCTAACCATCCATACATTTATCAATCGATCGTTCATCGATCATCCATCCATCCATCCATCCATCCTCTCTAACCATCCATACATTTATCAATCGATCGTTCATCGATCATCCATCCATCCATCCATCCATCCTCTCTAACCATCCATACATTCATCAATTGATCGTTCATCGATCATCCATCCATCCATCCTCTCTAACCATCCATACATTCATCAATTGATCGTTCATCGATCATCCATCCATCCATCCATCCTCTCTAACCATCCATACATTTATCAATCGATCGTTCATCCATCCATCCATCCTCTCTAACCATCCATACATTCATCAATCGATCGTTCATCGATCATCCATCCATCCATCCATCCATCCTCTCTAACCATCCATACATTCATCAATCGATCGTTCATCGATCATCCATCCATCCATCCATCCATCCATCCTCTCTAACCATCCATACATTCATCAATCGATCGTTCATCATTCATCCATCCATCGATCATCAAATTCCATCCATCCATCCATCGTCCATCAATCGATCGTTCATCATTCAGCCATCCATCCATCATCTCTAACCATCCATCCATCCATCCATCGATCATCCATCCATCCATCCGTCCATCAATTGATCGTTCATCGATCATCCATCCATCCATCCTCTAACATCCATCCATCCATTAATCAATCGTTCATTGATCATCCATCCATCCATCCTCTCTAACCATCCATACATTCATCAATTGATCGTTCATCGATGATCCATCCATCCATCCTCTCTAACCATCCATACATTCATCAATCGATCGTTCATCGATCATCCATCCATCCATCCATCCTCTCTAACCATCCATACATTCATCAATCGATCGTTCATCGATCATCCATCCATCCATCCATCCTCTCTAACCATCCATACATTCATCAATTGATCGTTCATCGATCATCCATCCATCCATCCATCCATCCATCCATCCTCTCTAACCATCCATACATTTATCAATCGATCGTTCATCCATCCATCCATCCTCTCTAACCATCCATACATTCATCAATCGATCGTTCATCGATCATCCATCCATCCATCCTCTCTAACCATCCATACATTCATCAATCGATCGTTCATCGATCATCCATCCATCCATCCATCCATCCATCCATCCTCTCTAACCATCCATACATTCATCAATCGATCGTTCATCATTCATCCATCCATCCATTGATCATCAAATTCCATCCATCCATCCATCGTCCATCAATCGATCGTTCATCATTCAGCCATCCATCCATCATCTCTAACCATCCATCCATCCATCCATCGATCATCCATCCATCCATCCATTAATCGATCGTTCATTGATCATCCATCCATCCATCCTCTCTAACCATCCATACATTCATCAATTGATCGTTCATCGATCATCCATCCATCCATCCTCTCTAACCATCCATACATTCATCAATCGATCGTTCATCGATCATCCATCCATCCATCCATCCTCTCTAACCATCCATACATTCATCAATCGATCGTTCATCGATCATCCATCCATCCATCCATCCTCTCTAACCATCCATACATTCATCAATCGATCGTTCATCGATCATCCATCCATCCATCCATCCTCTCTAACCATCCATACATTCATCAATCGATCGTTCATCGATCATCCATCCATCCATCCATCCTCTCTAACCATCCATACATTCATCAATCGATCGTTCATCGATCATCCATCCATCCATCCATCCTCTCTAACCATCCATACATTCATCAATCGATCGTTCATCGATCATCCATCCATCCATCCATCCTCTCTAACCATCCATACATTCATCAATCGATCGTTCATCGATCATCCATCCATCCATCCATCCTCTCTAACCATCCATACATTCATCAATTGATCGTTCATCGATCATCCATCCATCCATCCTCTCTAACCATCCATACATTCATCAATTGATCGTTCATCGATCATCCATCCATCCATCCATCCTCTCTAACCATCCATACATTCATCAATCGATCGTTCATCGATCATCCATCCATCCATCCATCCTCTCTAACCATCCATACATTCATCAATTGATCGTTCATCGATCATCCATCCATCCATCCTCTTTAACCATCCATACATTTATCAATCGATCGTTCATCGATCATCCATCCATCCATCCTCTTTAACCATCCATACATTCATCAATCGATCGTTCATCGATCATCCATCCATCCATCCTCTCTAACCATCCATACATTCATCAATCGATCGTTCATCGATCATCCATCCATCCATCCATCCTCTCTAACCATCCATACATTCATCAATCATCCATCATCCATCCATCCACCCATCCTCTCTAACATCCATCCATCCATTAATCGATCGTTCATCGATCATCCATCCATCCATCCATCCATCCTCTCTAACATCCATCCATCCATCCATCAATCGATCGTTCATCGATCATCCATCCATCCATCCTCTCTAACCATACATCCATCAATTGATTGTTCATCGATCATCCATCCATCCATCCAATTAGAATTTATCAGGCTGTTGCCATATTGCTGTATGTAAATAACCACTTTTATGATGAAAATGTGAAAAGAGTAAAAACATAAAAACACCCCCTTTAAAACCACAGAATGAGTAAACTATGATTTTTCATTGTTGTAAATATTCCTTTAAGATTCATAAATCAGACCTGATATATGAGCGAATCGCTCTTTGTTTTCTTGTTGATGTCAGCGCCCAGCTTAATGAGACATTCTGCCATGTCCACATCTCCGTCCTCGCACGCTCGCTCCAGCAGCATGTACATGATCTCAGAGTCCGCCACCATCTTACACAGGCACAGGCAACTCATTCCCTGCAACTGAAGCCCAACACAATTGGGATTTTTCAGGGGATCTTGCTTTTATTTGATTTGTTTAAGTCTAAAACCTTTTAGTTCAATTTTCTCACTGGATCTCGACGCTCGTCTGCCGTCTTCTCCCGCAGGACCTGAAAGATCTCTTTCTCAAAAGCCTCTTTCTGCAGCCATGCTGCGGCACTAGAGCAGGTGTCCAACAACTTCCACACCGCCTGAAATCCCTAATGGACAAAAACACACACTGTTAGGAACAACAACAACCCTATTGATTTTGAACTGATAATAATTGTAGTGAACTACCTTTAGAAGCATGACTGTGTCCTCTTTGTGTTGCCGTACAGAGCTGACCAAAACAAAGGCCAGGACAGGCACCATCGTACGGGACAGCTTCTTCTTAGAGATGAGGTGAAACAGGAGACTAAGGGCCCAGTAGTGAATGTCTACAATATGGTAATGAGTTTCGATTATTATACAGTTGTGCTTATGTTTACATACCGTAAGATGTTTAGCATTTTTAAACAGCTTTTTGAGCATTTTTTTTTTTTAAACCTTTAAGTCACGCAGATGGTCTCTTCCTGTCTTAGGGGCCATACACACAGAATGTGTTTTTATGTTTAAAAATTTGAGACACAAGGAAGTTGAAGGAAAACTTAAAGGAATAGTTGACCCGAAAAATTAAGACTTTCGTTCATCTTCGGAAGACAAATGAAGATCTTTATGATCAAATCTGAGAGATTTCAGTCCCTCCATTGACAGCTCTGCAACTACCACTTTGACGCTTCAAATCGTTAAACTAATCCATATAAATTGAGCGGTTAAGTCCAAATATTCTGAAGAGACTCGATCGCTTTATATGATGATCAGATTAAATTTAGGCTTTTATTCAATGGAGGGGCAGAAATCACAAAATAAAATTGTGTTTTAGAGATGAACGAAAGTCTTATGGGTTTGGAATGAGATGAGGGTGAGTAAATGATGACAACATTTTCATTTTTGGGTGAACTAACCCTTTCAGGTCTACAGACACATTTTTAAAAAGTTTAACTTCTTTTAACTTGAGCACCGCATTTTTAGAATAATATGTCATGCGAGAGATTCTTCAAGAGACATAAGCGCAATGTTTAAACACATCCGTCTAGCATGTTTTCATAGGACAGCAATGGAAATGCAGCACAGTGGAACTCAAAAACCCATTCTGTGAACAGTCCTAAGTGGGCAGTTTTGGGCCAGAATCAGCAGCAATGTGGACCAGACCTTATGTCGACACTCAAGTCTGGCTGGGATTAGAAGTAGAGGCTTTTGATCTCCTGGCATGGAGAAGAGTTTAGACTCACCGCGCTCCTGTGGAAACATCTGCAGCGTATGAAGAACCGTGTCGATCGCCCCCTGCTGGCACATGAGGTCCACAGCTCCGGAACAGTCGGCTAGCGCCGAGAGTACGCCAAGACCACACTCTTGAATCTCCTTACTTCTGATAAACTAAACACACAAATGAAACACTTCACACATATACTTAAAAGTTAAATAAAAGTCCAATGTTACAAAAGGAATGTTACGGGTCCAATTCAAGTTAAAGCCTGACAGCATTTCTGGCAGAAGTAGATTTTTTTATATATATATATTGTTTACAGTAATGAACTTACAATGGAAGTCTATGGGGAGAGGCATTCAAGAGGCTTTAAAAACAGAAATGTCAAGTTCATATTTTTGTTTAAGAGCATATATTAAAGGGATAGTTAATTCGAAAATGCTAATTCTGTCATGCAGTTACAGTACTCACCCACTGACACGTTTTCCAAACCTATAAGACTTTCGTTCATCTTCAAAACATATTTACAAATAGAATAAAAAAAATGGTCAGGTTTTATTAAAGATGCACAAGAGCCTTTGAAAGTGTAAACGCCAGTGGGTGGGGCCTATGATGCGATGATGTATAACTATTTGTCGATGTCTTGGTCTGGAGGCAGGCGTATCATATGCAAATGTATTTGCCCGTGTGTCATCATTCATCACAGATATTGCGATATCAAAACAAGACGTTTTTGAAGCTTGATTTCTCATGTCATGACCCTTTTAAAGGTAGGGTAGGTCATTTCCGGAGAGGCTAGCAATAGCAACCTCGCTTTGAAAGAATGAGATCTCACCCTCCCTTTAGAGCGTCTCTAAAGCTACGCCTCCTTCAAAACACACGAACACACACAGCAGAGAGACGGCGTTAAATTACCTCATGTCTCAAAGCACATAACATTACAATACTGATGAACGTAAACAATTTTTTTTTCTTCCACGGAAGATTTATGCACGTTTTAATATTTAGACCATTTCTACTATTGACTGCTATCAAGATGTGAAGAGATTAAACCAGTAAACAAAAAGTGTTTATAAAACAAATTGCCTACCCTACCTTTAAATGTACTAAATTGTAACTTCATCATTAGAAATGTGTAATTATAATTATATTTAAAGTGCCCCTATTATGTTTTTCGAATATTCCCTTTCATGTAATGTGTAATGTAGCTGTCTGTGAATGTAAACGATCTGCAAAGTTGTGAAGCCGTAAGTGCACGATAAATAAAGTTATTGTCTCCCAAAAGAAAGAATCGACTCTGAACCGCCTAAACGAGTCGTCAGTCATTCGAATCCCAATCAGTTACGGCTACACGTCACTGGGTAACACATTTGCACAATGCCCGCCTATGTTATACGTTGTCCGCTTGACCCGCACTTCAACGCGAGATTCCAAAAACTCTTGCTCTTGAAAGATGGGACAGTACCCAGTACATGGACCGGCTTGCTCCTCTGAATCACAGCCTGTAAGTATGATTAATTATAGATGTATGTATTTTCTACCGGGTGTTCAAAATACGTAATTTTGTGTTTTATATTGTGTATGTCTCCGGCTAACACACATTATTACTGTCTTACTGAAATACTTCTGCTAATCAGCTGTGGGCCACTATTACCTAAAACTGTGTCTATTAATGCAGATTGTCTTTCGTTCTCACTACTTTGAATTAAGATTAAGGATGGAGCAAGATTTCATCAGTCATTCACATTAGTGCTCGACTAACGTATGCACTGTTATTGATACAGTTCCTGCATGTGCACCGCAATAAATTGGAAATATACACATGGGTTTGTTGATGGACATACTCTTGTTAATGCTGATGGTGAGGAATTACAGCTGCAACATCTCATAATGTTCCTCAAACTGAGTAGTGTATCACTGAGAAACGTCCTGCTCGAGTCGTCCTTGCGATGGAGGTTCGGGTTGAATAACTAGTTCTTCCAATGTTTCATCATCGGACTCGCGCTCAGATTTATATGGTAATATCAATGCCATTGTTGCTGTCTTTACAGTGCAATAGCTGAGCTTTAGGAAGCCTCCGGAGCTGAAGTTCAGTTATGGCAATGGGCGTTTCGTTTCCGACAGGCGCTGTACGGGGTAGACCAATCACAATAGACTGAGCCATCTGACCAATCAGAGCAGAGTAGCTCGCGGAAAGGAGGGATTTAGAGAGAGTGAACCATTGGACGAGTCGTTTGAGAATCATTGAAAAATGTGGTGATGTGCAATATATATTATGAGAAAAAGAAAGTGTTTTTGGACCTGTAAACCTGCTGTAGGAGACTCGGAAACAATTTACAATAGCATAATAAAGCACTTTAAATACATGACATACAAGTTTAAATAGAAATTACATTAAAGTTTATCATATCATGACCCCTTTAAATCATAATTTAGTGGAAATACTCTAGTTGTCTTTTCATGTTAATCAGAGATAGGAGAAAATATTTGAACATTGAAAATGTACACCGCTTTAACATGCATTGAACCAGGAACATCCCGTTAAGTTCTCATGAGCAAAACATTTAGCATTATGGTCCATGTTGAATTATTGAACTATTTTAGCTTGTAAGAAACAAAGCATTTACCCTATTAAGTGCCTCTAGATAGACAGTGTGAGCTCCCTCCAGTACACACTGGTTCTTCAGGACCCGCAGAGACACACCCACCGTGTCAGGATCCGCTACAGAGTGGCCATGTTCTCTTAAACTCCTGTCTGTGTTCACAATAAGACCGTCAGAAATCACGCAGGCATATTTCATCACAGTAAGTAGACAGACTTTCTACCTGGGTTGAGAAGAACTAAACTGGCTCTGAGTCCCTCCAGCTGAACTTCAGGAACGAAGTTGTGTGTCTTCAGAGCACTCAGGATCTGTCCGAGAACCAGGGCCCCTTCATCAAGACTGGCCCTCCTGGAGTAACACAAAACTATGAGTCCAGTTTCATGTTTCCGCCGGTCATACGTCATAATTAACTGTCCTTGATCAGAGGTGGGAAGTGTGTGTGCTTACGCTCCCTGAAAGAGTGTGTGAAGCAGTTTGCAGGCACTTTCACACACGTCACTGGAGCTTGCGTGTTTCCGCATCAGATCCACAACGTTGAAATGGATGCCAAGTGATAGCAGCAGATCTCTCATCCTTCCTGAAGTCAAACAAATACAAGCTAAGCGGATTCTGCTCGTGAACATCCCTCATGAAGAAGAGGTAGAGTTTTAAAAAGAGTGTTTATTATGGAGATAATATACTTAAGTGCAAACTGATTTTTTGGACACTTAATTGAATGTTAAATGTACTATGGTTTAAATTTATATAAAAAGTTGAGCTGTTTTGACACACTTAAATAGGACCTAAGTACATCTTCAAATTTAATTTCATAATTACTTCTATTGTCTTTGAAATGGTAACTTGTGGCCTCAAGATAGTAACTCGTGGCCTCAAGATAGTAACTCGTGGCCTCAAGATAGTGACTCGTGGCCTCAAGATAGTGACTCGTGGCCTCAAGATAGTGACTCGTGGCCTCAAGATTGTAACTCGTGGCCTCAAGATAGTAACTCGTGGCCTCAAGATAGTAACTCGTGACTTCAAGATAGTAACTCGTGACCTCAAGATAGTGACTCGTGGCCAAAAGATAGTAACTCGTGACCTCAAAATAGTGACTCGTAGCCTCAAGTTAGTGACTCGTGACCTCAAGATAGTAACTCGTGACCTCAAGATAGTAACTCGTGGCCTCAAGATAGTGACTCGTGGCCTCAAGATAGTAACTCGTGACCTCAAGATAGTGACTCGTGACCTCAAGATAGTGACTCGTGGCCTCAAGATAGTGACTCGTGGCCTCAAGATAGTAACTCGTGGCCTCAAGATAGTAACTCGTGACCTCAAGATAGTGACTCGTGGCCTCAAGATAGTAACTCGTGACCTCAAGATAGTGACTCGTGGCCTCAAGATAGTGACTCGTGACCTCAAGATAGTAACTCGTGACCTCAAGATAGTGACTCGTGGCCTCAAGATAGTGACTCGTGGCCTCAAGATAGTGACTCGTGGCCTCAGGATAGTGACTCGTGGCCTCAAGATAGTGACTCGTGGCCTCAAGATAGTGACTCGTGGCCTCAAGATAGTGACTCGTGACCTCAAGATAGTGACTCGAGGCCTAGTGACTCGTGACCTCAAGATAGTGACTCGAGGCTTCAAGATAGTGACTCGTCGCCTCAAGATAGTGACTCGTGACCTCAAGATAGTGACTCGTGGCCTCAAGATAGTGACTCGAGGCCTCAAGATAGTGACTCGTGGCCTCAAGATAGTAACTCGTGACCTCAAGATAGTGACTCGTGGCCTCAAGATAGTGACTCGTGACCTCAAGATAGTGACTCGTGGCCTCAAGATAGTGACTCGAGGCCTCAAGATAGTGACTCGTGGCCTCAAGATAGTGACTCGTGACCTTAAGATAGTGACTCGAGGCTTCAAGATAGTGACTCGTCGCCTCAAGATAGTGACTCGTGGCCTCAGGATAGTGACTCGTGGCCTCAAGATAGTGACTCGTGGCCTCAAGATAGTGACTCGTGGCCTCAAGATAGTAACTCGTGACCTCAAGATAGTGACTCGTGGCCTCAGGATAGTGACTCGTGGCCTCAAGATAGTGACTCGTGGCCTCAAGATAGTGACTCGAGGCCTAGTGACTCGTGACCTCAAGATAGTGACTCGAGGCTTCAAGATAGTGACTCGTGGCCTCAAGATAGTGACTCGTGACCTCAAGATAGTGACTCGTGGCCTCAAGATAGTGACTCGAGGCCTCAAGATAGTGACTCGAGGCCTCAAGATAGTGACTCGTGACCAAAAGATAGTAACTCGTGACCTCAAGATAGTAACTCGTAGCCTCAAGTTAGTAACTCGTGGCCTCAAGATAGTAACTCGTGGCCTCAAGATAGTGACTCGAGGCCTCAAGATAGTGACTCGTGACCAAAAGATAGTAACTCGTCACCTCAAGATAGTAACTCGTGGCTTCAAGATAGTGACTCGAGGCCTCAAGATAGTGACTCGTGGCCTCAAGATAGTGACTCGTGACCTCAAGATAGTGACTCGAGGCCTCAAGATAGTGACTCGTGACCAAAAGATAGTAACTCGTGACCTCAAGATAGTAACTCGTGGCCTCAAGATAGTGACTCGAGGCCTCAAGATAGTGACTCGTGACCTCAAGATAGTAACTCGTGGCTTCAAGATAGTGACTCGAGGCCTCAAGATAGTGACTCGTGGCCTCAAGATAGTGACTCGTGACCTCAAGATAGTGACTCGAGGCCTCAAGATAGTGACTCGTGATCAAAAGATAGTAACTCGTGACCTCAAGATAGTAACTCGTGGCCTCAAGATAGTAACTCGTGGCCTCAAGATAGTAACTTGTGGCCTCAAGATAGTATGGTAACTTGTGGCCTCAAGATAGTTATAATTAATTTCTTTTGACAAAGTGGGACTAGGGGGGGGGGCTCCGTAATTTTATTACAAATTGAACTAACAATAAGTGTGTTAAAAAACAAGCATCTGCAAGTACAAAAAATATACTTTTAAGTTTGAAGTACACTATAAGTACGCATTAAATACAATTCAGCACACTTCTTTTACACAAGGGATCATACATCTCTGTAAAATATCAGTTTCTTATTGTTTTTGAGTAACATTGGCCAAATACTTATTCAAAAACTAGTATATGTATGAAAAGTATGTACATAAAAAATGATATGGACAAGCAGGGGAGTATAATCAGAAAATGACACAAGTTGGATTCTAACTTGTATGAATTTTATAAATGATGGCATTCAGAAATCAGAAATCATACATTATCTGGGCAAACTATTTTTGACAGACTGTAATACAATAATTTAGTATCCACTGATTCTAATCATGCATATTATAAAGGATGGACGGCATGTGAAATGCAAAATAATCCAGTTAATGTTGGAGTTGATAAGTGAATACCAGTCGGTGGATTATACATGCCATATAATAAGGTTATGCAATAACAATCACTGCATCCTGCATACTCACTGTGGTGCTGTATTAGTGTGTGTAATGTACAGGTAGCAGCCTTAAACACCCCCACACTGGAGGAGTGCAGCAGCATCGCAGCCATGATGAGTGTGTGAAGAGGAGGCCTGTGTGACAGAGATTCATCATTACGACATCACACCCTGAGCTCATTAACATGTGACCGCCTACATTAAATATCATCACCTATTCAGTATTCAGCAACTTGATGATAACAGTGTTAACTACACAAGTATGCAGAGGGTCATAACCTCCATATACATATAGAAATATAATAACAATAATACATATGTTTATTTTGTTTCTTTTATTATTGTGTCAAAACGCAGGAATAAAACCATTAAAAATCATCCCTTATAGTGGTGTAACAATATATCGTGTCACAATTTATCACAATACAAAAATGCAACAATGTGTATCGTGGATAGTGACAATATGTACTGTGTATAGTTAAAAATCACTGTGTGAGAAAATATTTAAGTTTTAGTGTCAGTACTACATTAAACTACCATAAAATGTTAAAAATAATGTATAATAATGCAATGGGGGAATATGTGTGGGTCCTGATGATGCCAAATGTCTGATGTTACCAGTAAAAAGTGGCTTAAACTTTATTTTAAATATATCTAGTCAGTGACAGAGTGCAAGAAATATTTGTCTAAAAATAATTCTGTATTTTCAGCCTCAGAATCATGAATATGTTTATTCTGGTGTCTCTATTGTCCTGTTCATTGGGTTTCCAGCAACAAGTCCAAGCCTATTCATTTACACACACAATGTAACACCAAATGTAGCATTTTAATCAACAGTAAAACATTTCGCACTAATATCATATCGTATCGTTCAGTATCGTGATATGAATCGAATCGTGACGTGAGGGAATCGTTACACCCCTATTCCCTTGAGCAAAAAATGATCTGTATAATAATCATATTGTTAGTAAAACAATTATAATTGTCTCAACCTTTAATTCTAAAAGGAATTCCAGAAGAAAAAAGTTGCGTATCAGAGAATATGAAGGAATGCGCACCTTCCTTCCAGTTCCACGTGGCTGGACGTGTTGCAGTGGAGCAGCAAGCTGTTCAAGGCCCAACATGCCACTTCCTGATTGGGCAACGAGATAGAAAGTTACATATCCACATAAGTAAAAGCAAACTATTGAGATGTAGGGTAAGCACTGTAGGGTAAAACAGGTCACCTGTACTGTGGCGTCTTCAGCATGTCTCTGTAAAGCCGTATAACAGGCCTCTCTCCACACGAGCATCTCCTCCGCTTCAGTGGACACAACTTCCTGTCCCACCTCGTCCTCCTCACTCCCTTTCTCCAACCCTTCATTCTGCACAACACACTCCACTGAGGGGAAAAACAGGGAAAAAACGAGATATTGTCGCCTTGAATAGTGAATCGCCTTGAAATTGTGCCCACAGTTTAACAAAATTAAAATAAGGAGTTCAATGTGGCCACAATATATATTTAAAAGAGCTTTTTTCTATGTGAATATATGTTAAAGTGTAATTTATTCCAGTGTCCTAAGCTGAATTTTCAGCATCATTACTCCAGTCTTCAGTGTCACATGATCCTTCAGAAATCACTCTAATATGATGATTTGATGCTCAGGTATTATCAATTATTATTGATACTGTTGAATTTTTCTGTTTGACATTTTTCAGGATTCTTTGATTAATAGAAAGTTGAAACGAACATCATTTATCTGAAATATAAATCTTTTGTAACATTATAAATGTCTCTAATGTCACTTTTGATCAATTTAAAGTTATAAATTGATTAAAAAAAAAAATATTTCACAATATTACTGTTTTTTCTTTATGTTTGATCAAATAAATGCAGCCTTGGTGGGACTTCTTTCAAAAACATTTTAATTATTCCAAAGTAATGTATATCATATCTGTTTTTATACCAATTATTGATTCATAAAAGTGCTGCATGTCATTTTATTGACTGTACTAAAGCACTCTATCCTAGCTATGTGTATTTGAATTTCACATGTAAAGGAGGACTGGTCACTGAAAAGGTCCAAAATCCCCAATATACAAAAATCCTAAAAAAGCAGCATATATCTCAAGTGTGGGCTCTAAGGGATCCAGTGGAGGGCCGGGTTGTCCGTTTATACTGTACTATGATGTTCATATGAATCATGTGTACTCACCGAGCGCGCTCAGACAGGAAAGGGCTTGGATCTGCACTGTGGCGTTCTCAGGATACGAGACACATGCTTTCACTGCTACTTTATGGACACCATTCAGCACCAATATATTGTAGTAACTCTCTGGTAAAAGTCAAAAACAAGACAACATGACTCAAAAATGGTAGCAAAACAACATTTTATGTAATAAGAACAGCCTTGTTTCAACATGACCTTTGACCTGGACTCACCTGATGTCAATTTCCGTAACAAACAGCAACCGGCCTCCTGTATCGACTCAGAGTCGAGCCACGTCTCCATAGCCTGACACGCTAGGCTGTAGCATTTAACGCTTTTGGACATCAGAATCTCAACATTGCTGGCTAGATCCAAGAAAGAGAAGCTTCTTTAGTATTGTTAATAATGACAACCCCAGTCACTGATCGAAAAGCATTGAGTGAGCAGTGTGTTTTACCCGGAGCAGCCAGTGGTACGAGGACCCTCAGCACTCGCAGAACCACATTCTCACTGTCCATGAACCGGCTCAGCGCATTCAAAACCACCGCATGGTCCTTCTTCTCAACGAACTCCACCAGATGATCCTCAGACACTGACAACCAGGCAGAACTCTTTAACAACTCAATCATTGATTCAGATGTAAACAAGAATAGCCAAGTCAATTATACAGCGCTTTTAACAATACGGACTGTTTCACAGCAGCTTTACAGTGATAATAGGAAATTACAGTAACAGAGATTGCTAAAGTTAGTTTTTGATTGATTCACTTCCATTGCAAAGATCATCAGTTATTAACTTATGGGCCGCTAACACGACACCGTTTCAACTAAAAAAAAAACAGAAAACTTGTAATGCGCTCTGGCCGTTCATTTGAACGACAACGCAAACTTTGAAATGGGTTCAAATTTTGAAAAACATTATCATCTCTGTGTAAAGTGTGTGAAAACGCAAACGGCGTGCACATGCATATCATGCGTTTAGTCTATAGGTATGCGCGTTTGAATATATATGCGTATGCGCCCTATTCATTTTTTTTCTCTCCAGAAATTCTGTGAATTCAGACATTTTAATTGTTCAGGATTCTGTGTTGTATTATTTACTTCGAATTATTATCAAAAACTTTGACAATCAAAAGAATGCATAAAACTAGAACAATATAATTGTATTAAATGCAATCAAACTCATTTTGAATGATTCCTTTCATTTTTGGCAAGCAATGTCTTGCACAACAAAGGCTTACAGTTTGAATTAAAACATGGATGAAATATTGTGTGATATTCCTTAAAAATAATTGTATATAAACTGTATTATATTGTTATTATTACTTTGAGAAGTACATTCTGCTGTCCAACAGTAATACACGTCTGTTCTTCTAACTTTTATTTCGGCGGGCTGTAGTGAAGACCTTTGAATTTCTGTGTGTATCTGATGATAGTTGTATCAAATAAAGTGGTGAAACGTTTGTGAACTCCAGCTCTGGAGAAGCGATCCATGTCGAATTAGCTTATATAGCAGGACGGAAGATGCTGAAAACCAGTGTCACGTGTGCTTCAGTACGTGTAGTAGAAAGATAAATTGCGCTGCTCATTCACACAGAGAAATGCAGAACATGCAGACTAAAAAGCAGCCTTTTGAGCTTTAATATTCAAAGACACTCACAATTGTATTGTATTTAAGTGTACAGCCCTACTTTTGATTTATTCAATTTAATTAAGTTTGTTCAATTTTGCAAAATTAGGTGACATTTCGCATTTTACATAAAATTCTTTGCGGATGGGGAAATCATAGTGTCTTATATCACTATTGCTTATACTCTTTGTAACAGAACACAGTCACCTGTCTGCAGCAGTAGTTGTAAAGCAGCACATCCCTGTAGCTGAACCTCTTCTCTGTCACCGAAAGACCTCATGGCCTCCAGGACCAGGAAAAACACATCCACTTCCTCCTCATCCAGAACCTGCATCACAATCTCACCTGACCCACACACAAGCAACACCTCCATCAGAACCACATGTGACCCACAAACACCAAATATGGTGGTGTACCTCAAGTGAAACCATTATCATAAATACGTTTGTGTAAGGGGAATGTGGCCATTTCATAATAATAAACAAGAACTCCATGTATTTTCCTGATATCCATAGTTATAATGTACTGTCATTACAGATTTAATAATGTCATTCATTTGCAATGTTTCACGGGATGAGATTGCTTCATGAAATGCGTTAATAGTGTCCAATCGTGTTCCTGGAGATATGAGCCGTGTTTCCACCGCAGGAACGTTACCCAGAAACTAGGGACTTTGCTGAATCCGCAATCGCCCCCTATACCCTCGAATAGGGCGTTATTTGAGGGGACAGCCATTTGTAGTGGTGTCCGACACCATAGTGGACGTTATTGAGTGCACTTATTCAATCCCACAATGCACCGCAATAACGAGTGTACAACCGACGTACGCTCAACGGTGTCCGATTTCACTCACTCGTTTTCATTCACTTCAAGTGAACAGTATTAGTAGTGGACTAACGTAGGCAATAGTTAATGAGGAAAAAAAAATTCCCCTCAGAAAGTCCCTGCTCGTAGTACTTTGTCAATGTTCAGGGACTTTCGGGGGTGGGACTTGGGCGCTGAACATGCTGATTGGTTGAGTTCACGCAGCATTTTATTCCAACCACCATTTTTAAAAGTCTGTTGCAATGCGCGCAGTAAGAGTTCTTTACTATTCGAATCAACAATGGAGTTTAAAAAATACGACAGATGACGAGGTTCAGGCTTATATGCGGAGGACCAAATACAGACTAATTTGTCACCGGACATATTTCCCTAATCTTCACAGTAATTTAGACCACGATGGAAACGCAGACGGGGCGGGGGATCCTGGGACAAATTGTTCTGAGTAATTTCGGTGGAAACGCGGCTATGGAGAGTTCAGATCTAACCCTGGTGTAACACACCTGTCTGTAATTATCAAGCGCATTTGTGTTTTATCAGGGTTGCAGATAAACTTTGCAGGAGAGTAGGTGTCCAGGAACAGGTTTGGGCACCCTTGCAGTGCAGTCTTGTTTCCTTGTTGTGATTCATATGGGAGCTGGGTGGTTTGGTTAAAATTTTTGAAAGAATATTTTGAAATCCTTATGGAGATGAAATAAATGCGAAAAAAATACGTCAGGAAGCAATATTCTATAATGGTTGAATAAACAGCTAGCCTGGGAAAACCCAGACAAGTACGGCAAATTTAGATTTGCTCTGAAAGTTAGTCTGGCAAAGAGCTCATTCAAGCCCATTTCCAATCCGCCGAAATCGAGGCACCAATCAGAAGCGTTGGGGCGGGCTTTACACGATGACGACAGCGCTGGGATTTTGAAGCAGATTTTGTAGCCTACATTACAAAGATGGATGCCGCCATCGAACATCACTCGTTCGAATCAGCTATCGCGTCTGTTTTAAGCGATTTGAACGTTTCCTTTTTGTTAAAAACCGAGCAAAGAACAACACTCGGAGATGTGTCTCCGCCGCTCTGCATACGTCATCTCCTTCATCGCTCTGATTGGGTTTAGGTCTATCCGCAACGTCCGTTGGGGACGCCCTCTGGAAATGATTTGTCTATGACGCTTTGCCAGACCATAACTCAGCTGAGAATGGTCTGGTTTTAACCAGGCTAATAAACAGCATCATGGAAAAGCAACCCGATGTCTTACCTGACTTAAGTAGCAGAGCCAGAGCTCTCAGGCCCACCATCATCATCTTGGCTTCATTATGATACACTGAAAGCACCTTAAGAATCTGCCTATGAACAAACATGCAAACACTCACATAAACCTGGTGAACATGGATAGCAGCAATGAATTCATTAATAAACCGGTTTGAGTGTCTCTAGAGGAATCTATGTTCCAGATTCCATTCAAACTGGCAGTTATCCGTGTCAGCCAATCACGTTCAGAAGAATAGCCTGGATTAGATCCTACCTGTCTTTTTTAAAAGTGCCTTTAAAAGTTGTCTTTTTTTCTGTTTTTGTTAAATAATCAGTTCAGTACGATTGGAACATACAATTTGCAATACCATATAATAATATGATATGCCACAAGGTTCGGTCTTGAGCCCTTTTTTGTTTTTCTTGTATGCTCTGTTCAGTTTCCCACATTCTTCGAAATATCTTCCTTTGTGTTCAGCAGAACAAAGAAAGTTATACAGGTTTGGAACAACCCGAGGGTGATTAAATGATGACAGAATTTTAATTTTTGGGTAAACTTTCCCTTTAAGGCACTTTCTTTATAAAGCTATTCTGGAACAATATGTACTGCGTAAAGTACTATAGAAATAAACTAAATTGATGCACGATTATTTTATAGGCATCAATCCTCCTAGTCAATTACTTTTAATCTTAACCAGTGGAACAAAAAAATTCTCTTTTACTTTTGTACTTTCAGTTTTTTGTAGAATGATACAGAGAGTGGCTTATTGAAGGAAGGCAATGATAATTATCCTTTAAACTACTGAAAGTTGCTTCAATTACATAGTAAACAGGAATGTATGGCCATTATATAAGCTCATAGAAATAACTCGGGCTTACTTGTGCACCTCTATAAACTCATAGTCCACTGGGTTGGTCAGACTTTCCAGAGTGGTTGGACAGATCTCCATCAGACGACACAGCAGAGACCAGCCAACCTGCAGTGTGTTCAAAGCAGTAAATCAGCAGTAATCACTTTTCTTATAGTCAATAAAGCTGAAATAAAATTTACTCCAAGAAATATGTTAGAAATAACAGTTTTTCTTTCATTTACTATTTGTCCTTCTAAACCCGCATGACTTTAGCCTCATTCAGACTGTCAGTCCAAATCTGAATTTTGTGCATATTTAGCAAAAAAAAAAAAAAAAAAAAAGTGTAATCACATGCAATTCATTTGTGGTTTGAAATCACATGTGACTTTCAGCATGTTTCTTATAACAACGTCTGAAGTTACATAAAACGCGTGTTCAAACGCCAAATATGATTACAGCAATCAGAGTAAAACGGATTTCAAGAAATGCATGATTTGGATTTGGACTGACAGTGTGAACGTAGCCTTTGAGAGGTCATTGTAGTATTGTAGAGTTTCAGAACTCAAAACTTCCCCCGTTAGTCCAAAAACAGCTTTTATTTAAACCAAGCTCCGAAAACAACTCGTTTCGGTTTTTGTCACATTAGGATGTAATAGTGCGTCGAAAGATGCCTCTGCAGAATCAGATCAACGCCTACTCTACATCATCATGTCTTTGGCCCCGCCCACTGGTGCGTTAGTGAGATGAGAAGGAGAGAAAAGAGATACAGGACTACAAATAACTTTACCTTCCAAAGGAATGTGGTTGTCTATTCTCAACTATGTGAATGTCTCAGTTGAGCATTATTTGTTTGTTCGACACATTTCACTGTGAATTATTTGGTCAATCAGTCGCAATTTCGGCGCAGGCTTTGCAAACAGATATGAAAATATGGATTCAATAGTAATGCGACAACATGTAAATAACCGTGTTAATTCTAATGCCTGATCTGTGATCAGTGATTTCTGATATGTAATGATTCATGCAGTCAGATGTTCTTTGTCTCAAAATCACTTATTGCTGTTTATCAGTAAATCAAGCCAGTGATTAAACGGCCAACTTCACATTGTTGCTCTTAGTAGCATGAAAATTATCTGTTATTTAAATTGTGATTAAATAATATAGAGAAAGCGATTAAAGAACCATCCTTTTATAATCACTGGAGCTGTCAATCACACAGCGCGCGTTTACCAGTGACTGAGTTCTGGACTTTCACCAAAACTCCCGTTATAATCAATGGCGCTGTCTTCACTGCACAACGAATCTCTTGTACATCGCATTTGAACTGTTGATTATGATGAAAGCATTCATGAGAGTGCAGAAATCACAAGATCACTGCATGCATGCGCTCAATGTGTCTGTCATCGGCTACAATGCTCATACTTTCATGTACTGGTAGATCTAAATAAAATGCTAATCTGCACTTTTCACGATTAGTTAACCTCGATAGCTTTAATAGTAAAAACGTAGTAAAAGTTTTAGAGAGTTCCACATGTAATACTTATTGCAAAGATTTCAACCAATCACAGTTTACACTTGTAAGCCCGACTAAATCGGCCCAATGGCGGCATTCGGTCCGCGGGGAAGGTCTCTGCGTGTTACTGTCTTTCCGCGTGGCAAAGTAATGTATTTTCATGTATTAAAGCAGCACCAGGTAACTTTTCAACCTTCATAATATATTTCCAAGTCTCTTGTGATGGTACATCGACTTACAATAGGTTGAATGACACGTCTGCCATAGCCTGACGGGGTCTGTAGCGTTTTTAATCGTACTTTTAAACTTTCGGGTTTCGGGTAGTAACCGGCGAACAAAGAGAACTACAAAATTCGACTGCTTTACAGCATATACGTCACTTCCACCACCACCCCCACTTCCTTAAAATCGGACGTGCGAGCCAAATGTTATAGTCATGGCCGAAGCAGCACAGAAAAACAAGAAAGCAAAGATTTTATCGGAGCAAAGCAAAAAGAGAAAAAGAGAAAGTGATCGCGTTAAAGGCAGAACAAGGATCAACATTGGGCCAGAGTTTTCTCGCTGGCGTGAGCTGAAGGAGGAGGAGGGGTGCCCGACCGATGCGGACTTGGCTGTCATGCTTTTGGACTAGTAAGTAAGTATACTGCTTGCATACAATCTCTTTGTTTTTTTGTCTGCCTTTGTTTTATTATATTATAATATTGACGATATATGGTTATTATCAACCACTCAAACATTGCATTGAAGTATCATATAGATTCAGTAAAACGGTAACCAATAGACTAGGCTACTATAATGACGCTGGCTTGTAAACGTGATCATCGCGATCATTTGTCGTTAGAAAAAAAAAACAAAAAAACATGAAATTATATTCATATGACATGCTGAAATATATGCCACTGTACCTGGGATGAAGACATTTCATACGCGACGCAAGCAGAACACCTGCATGTGACTTCCTCCTACAGTGTTCAGGGCTATCACGGTTGTCAACAAATGCACGCGCATGTAGGATGAGAGTTTACGACAGTAGTAGAGGACAATACTGTTTCCCAACTGTAGGGGGACCCCGAGAGCAAAAAGTTCCCTGGTGTTACTTTGACTCGTTATTTCATCTGACTCCATAAATGAAAAGGTTTTAATGATATCTGTGCATCATTAAATGTGAGCGAATGTTTGACTATTCTTTTTAACTCTTTACTGAAAACAATGTCAGAGTACGTTAGAATAAATGGATCTCATGTACTGCATTGAGGTGCTACTGATTTGCCTGGAAGACACCCTCATTTGTGTACAGGTTATCCCTAAAACTCTTAAATACTCATTACCTTTTGGTTTACCTCTTTGGGAATGAGACATTTGTACCAATCGCACTGAGACATTTCAAATGATACCAAACATGTGTAATACTGTACGATAATTATTCACATTAAACCATATAGATTTTTGGGTGAATTTCAGGTGATCTCAGCATGAAAGAGAGAGAGGGAACGGGGGAATGGGGGGTCAAGGGAAAAGATGTAGATTAGGATTGTTTAGGTGAGACTTGCATCTCGAATGTTGGAGAAAACTTCACAAGAGAGACTTCAAATGTTTATTTCCAGCAAGGTCCTTTGTCTCCTCAGGGAGTGGTTGCTCCTCAAACAGACTGCCCGGCATTTCCTAATTTCTCAAGTCTTACACACTGAAGTCTCACAGCAGACACACCCCTTCAAACAGAGCGTTCAAATCAGAGAAGGAAAAGTGCCTTTTATTTCCTAATTATGACCGTTTTTATGTAAAAATCATACTAACACTATACGTGCACCTAAGGAAACATTAAAATAAAAAAGCAGTTGACCCCTTTACATTCATAAAATGACAGAGAATTGGGGGGGGGGGGGGGGGGGTGCACAGTATCTAATTTTATGGTATTTTCAAGCTTGAAAGTCTCACTCCCTCCCTATTTCCTTTCATTATGGAAAAGAGCAGCGTGAACATTCTTCTCAATATCTCCTTTTGTGTCCCATGGTAAAATAAAAGTCATATGGTTTAGAATAACATGAGTGAACGCAGTGCTCGAAGTGGGCGAGTACGGACCGGTACGCACTTTTATATTTTAAGCTGTAGCGTAACAGTAATTCAAACACGTTGCCGGTGCCAGGGGCGTCACTGGGCCCTTTTTGTACTCAACCACCCATCGGTCTGCAGCGGGACAGCGCCAGCGTCAGAAGCAGAGGACAAGGTGTGTGTTTATCCATATTTTCATGATATCTGCATCTGCAGTTCTTTGTCATAAATCCCGTTTACATAATGTAATGTGGGAGACAGTTTCTCATGAGTCCACTGTAAAGTTTGCGCTGCATTCACCCCTCATCACAAATTGTTTTCCTCAAGCGAAAATGGACCGTGGATGTTATTTTCATTCGAAATTATTTTTTACGTGGCATTAACCTCATGCTAAGTAATGGTTTTAAAGATAAAAATCACACTGTAAAAATGATTTGTTGGTTGAACTTAAAGTAGCCTAACCAGTTTGCCTTAAAAATGTTAGTTCATTTTTAACAAAAAATTTGAGTAGATACAAAATAATGTTATCTGAACAATGTTTGTGAAAGTAAGCTGATTTGACAACATTTTTTGAAAAGTTGTAACAAATCAACAAAATATTGTTTACAGTGCAGACAGCACTGATTTAAACGACTTATCAGAGTGAATGACAGAAACACCATGTAGTTATTTCGTTCTACTAAATAATGACCCAGCAGTTGATTGTGACATTTATAGCCTTAGAGTTAAGGGATCTGAGTTTTATGGTGTCACTTTGAATTATAGAAGTGGCAGATTGATAGATTCACATTAGATAGATAGATTCCACTTCAAGCACTGGGTGAACTATTAAGCATTTGCAAGGAAATTTGTGCAGCCAAAACAATGACGACTACCTGCTGAACTTTGCTGTTGAGATGCTCTGACAGCACCAGCATCAGAGGCACATGGACGTTTTGATCCGCAAACAGCTCAACTGCAGGACAAAAGAAGAACACAAATCTAAAAATAGCTGTCCCACTGGAAAAAGCACAGAGAGGGGGGTCTGAAAGTTTGCATTGCTCTCAGTCTATATGAATGTATTAAGACTAGTGTAAAGCGTCAAAAATGTTAACAAAGGGCTACAGATTTCCAGTTTGAGAGGTCATGAGAACTCACCACAGTGATCTGTGTGGGACAGGAACAGCAGGTCCTGTATGATCTGGACCATAGTGCCCAGCTGTTTCCCCTCTTGAAGATTCATCCTCACCAGCAGCTTCTTCAGCCTGATCCCCAACTCCTCTTTATCAGCCATGATCTTCTGCTATCTGACATCAAACTGAGCTTTAAAGCCCCTTCTGATCCTCACTGACCATGTGGACACAACATTGCTGCTGCAGACCATCATCTGTTTCACAGCGCACACGCTCTTCTGACATGTTTATGCAAATCACAACACGAGTTATGCTACAGTAGAGACTGATATGACTAATCTTTAGTTCCCGATTTCATTCTCGGCTTGGTAAAGAAGAGATCCTGGTCATGTTAGCAGCTGCTGTGGTCCTCGCGCTGCGTTATGAATCATATGACTGCAAGAATTCACAAACTTCCTGTTCGAGAGCACAAGTGAAAGCAAGAAACCCGAGTCTCATATTAAAGCGAATGGCACCCAGAAAAGCGTCTTGCTGGTAGGTTACAGAGGGAGAAGACAAATATGTGCATTTCAGTTAGTTCACATGCGTAACGTGTATTGTTCATTTTTAGCACGTTAGCTATATTGCTACAGGATGTGTACGTGTGCATAGGACGGGTACGTTCATGTTTTATGAATCAATATTTTTATGATTCTGAATAAAGGTACTAAAAATATTTAATGGAATACTAATAAATACGTATCAACGGAAATATGTACAGTATTTCGCGACTTTTTAATTTCGATGTATTTTTGTAGTAGCTAAACATAGCAAAAGATCGAGTTTACAGTCGGTGAACGCTTTTTACATGCACGCTACACTTAATATCGCGATTTCGACTCGAGTTTCTTTTCTATTATAATCGGAGTTTGTACCGAGTTTGTTTAAAGTCCAATTCATTTTAGCGAATCGGTTCGTTCAAAGAGTTCGCCACAGCGAACCGATTCCTAAAATGATTCAGTGATTCATTTGAATCCGATTTAGTAGTCCGCTGTGTTAGTGCGTCATATACGTATTATTTTAAGTAGCAAAAGAAATAACCATGTAGTCCATCACTAGATGTTATATTGTGCCAACTGCAAATGCTAGCCTACTATATCGAGTCATTCGCAGACGATAATACGAGTCGGTTCGACTGAATTATTACATAGAACCGATTCAAAATAACGATTTGTTTGCTAATCACTGTTAAACTGTATTGTTGAATATTCATAGCCTTTTCCACAACATCAGATTGATTTTGCTGTTCAGTGCATGTGTTAAGGAATCTCTCATAAATAGTGCTTTGCAAGAATTTTAGCATAGGCCTTAACAGTATAACCACAATATTTAATTAGCAAATGTTTCACTGTGGTTTGAGGTGTGTGCAATGTCAACGTGGTCATTCTGGGTTGGGCAAGGTAATGGCTTTTGTTGATCATGTGATGATCTCAAGGTGTTTTCTTTGTCATAGGAGACAATGTGCATAATCTCTAGAGAATGGAGGAGCTGATAGGAGACAGGAGAGTTGAGGACGAAAGGAGTTTGATAAAAACGCCATCCAATGTCCAAACCAACTACCAAGACAATGACGTGCCCACACCCACAGATCAGATCCAGCACGCCACCACGCCATGTTTCGTGTACACCCTGGCTTTCTTCTCGGCTCTGGGTGGATTCCTGTTTGGCTATGACACAGGAGTGGTGTCTGGAGCCATGCTTCTGCTGAAGAGAGAGATGAACCTGAGCTCTCTGTGGCAGGAGCTTCTGGTCTCCATCACTGTTGGCGCCGCGGCTGTTTCCGCTCTGGCTGGAGGGTTTCTCAACGGGCTTTTCGGCCGGAGAATCTGCATTCTGCTCGCTAGCTTCATCTTCTCTGCTGGAGGAATCCTCCTGAGTGTCGCACACAGCAAAGAGGTTCTTCTGTGTGGAAGGCTCACGGTTGGCCTTGGCATAGGTAGTTCATTCTGTAGCCTTTATACTGCAGTATATGTAGAGCTGTTTGAATTCAGTTTGTGTCCTGCTTTCACGTCTTCTGTTGTTTTTAGGAATTGCATCCATGACTGTGCCCGTGTACATCGCTGAGGTGTCCCCTTCTCATCTCCGAGGTCAGCTGGTCACCATTAACACTCTGTTTATCACTGGTGGGCAGTTCGTAGCCAGCGTGGTGGACGGGCTCTTTAGCTACCTGCCCCATGATGGCTGGAGGTGGGTTCAAATGGAAGCTTTACCTCTTAAATCTTTTTCTGTATAAAAAAAAAAAACAATACTTTTTTATATATATTTATTGTGCTACAACAGGTAAATTTTTTCTACCCATCAGCTCAGAATTGTCTACTTTGAGTGGCAAAAATGCTGCAAAACAATACGATTCATAAAAAGACCTCTATAGTTTTGTATTATTAATTTATTTTTAATAAAATATATGTAATTAATATTATATACCTGTCAATATTTATGCAAAATATTCAAAAACTATTATTTCAGTTTTAGTAATTTCAGTATACTTAATAACTTATTTGATATCATTTAGTTGCCAAGTCGACATATTACTTTTTAATAACAGTTTTTTAAAGCTTAATATTTATAAGTTTTAGTTAACAATAAAAACACTGAGTGACCAGACTTATTGCCAAAACACCTTACCAACTGCATAGCAACACCCTGGCAACAATATTTCAATCTTCTGTTTATTGAGCTATAGTGATAGTAAGATGCTTCAGACATTCTCTAGGAAAAGTACCGTAGAGTTAAAAATTCAAATGAGGTGCAAAAGGACTTGTTGTAATCGTTTTTGAATGGTTTTTGTGTTTATGTATAGATATATGTTGGGTTTGTCTGTTGTTCCCGCCGTCCTGCAGTTCACGGGGTTCCTCTTCCTCCCCGAGAGTCCTCGCTGGCTCCTGCAGAACGGAGAGACCCAGAAGGCTCGGCTGAACTCTTTAACAACTCAATCATTGATTCAGATGTAAACAAGAATAGCCAAGTCAATTATACAGCGCTTTTAACAATACGGACTGTTTCACAGCAGCTTTACAGTGATAATAGGAAATTACAGTAACAGAGATTGCTAAAGTTAGTTTTTGATTGATTCACTTCCATTGCAAAGATCATCAGTTATTAACTTAGGGGCCGCTAACACGACACCGTTTCAACTAAAAAAAAACAGAAAACTTGTAATGCGCTCTGGCCGTTCATTTGAACGACAACGCAAACTTTGAAATGGGTTCAAATTTTGAAAAACATTATCATCTCTGTGTAAAGTGTGTGAAAACGCAAACGGCGTGCACATGCATATCATGCGTTTAGTCTATAGGTATGCGCGTATGAATATATATGCGTATGCGCCCTATTCATTTTTTTTCTCTCCAGAAATTCTGTGAATTCAGACATTTTAATTGTTCAGGATTCTGTGTTGTATTATTTACTTCGAATTATTATCAAAAACTTTGACAATCAAAAGAATGCATAAAACTAGAACAATATAATTGTATTAAATGCAATCAAACTCATTTTGAATGATTCCTTTCATTTTTGGCAAGCAATGTCTTGCACAACAAAGGCTTACAGTTTGAATTAAAACATGGATGAAATATTGTGTGATATTCCTTAAAAATAATTGTATATAAACTGTATTATATTGTTATTATTACTTTGAGAAGTACATTCTGCTGTCCAACAGTAATACACGTCTGTTCTTCTAACTTTTATTTCGGCGGGCTGTAGTGAAGACCTTTGAATTTCTGTGTGTATCTGATGATAGTTGTATCAAATAAAGTGGTGAAACGTTTGTGAACTCCAGCTCTGGAGAAGCGATCCATGTCGAATTAGCTTATATAGCAGGACGGAAGATGCTGAAAACCAGTGTCACGTGTGCTTCAGTTCGTGTAGTAGAAAGATAAATTGCGCTGCTCATTCACACAGAGAAATGCAGAACATGCAGACTAAAAAGCAGCCTTTTGAGCTTTAATATTCAAAGACACTCACAATTGTATTGTATTTAAGTGTACAGCCCTACTTTTGATTTATTCAATTTAATTAAGTTTGTTCAATTTTGCAAAATTAGGTGACATTTCGCATTTTACATAAAATTCTTTGCGGATGGGGAAATCATAGTGTCTTATATCACTATTGCTTATACTCTTTGCAACAGATCACAGTCACCTGTCTGCAGCAGTAGTTGTAAAGCAGCACATCCCTGTAGCTGAACCTCTTCTCTGTCACCGAAAGACCTCATGGCTTCCAGGACCAGGAAAAACACATCCACTTCCTCCTCATCCAGAACCTGCATCACAATCTCACCTGACCCACACACAAGCAACACCTCCATCAGAACCACATGTGACCCACAAACACCAAATATGGTGGTGTACCTCAAGTGAAACCATTATCATAAATACGTTTGTGTAAGGGGAATGTGGCCATTTCATAATAATAAACAAGAACTCCATGTATTTTCCTGATATCCATAGTTATAATGTACTGTCATTACAGATTTAATAATGTCATTCATTTGCAATGTTTCACGGGATGAGATTGCTTCATGAAATGCGTTAATAGTGTCCAATCGTGTTCCTGGAGATATGAGCCGTGTTTCCACCGCAGGAACGTTACCCAGAAACTAGGGACTTTGCTGAATCCGCAATCGCCCCCTATACCCTCGAATAGGGCGTTATTTGAGGGGACAGCCATTTGTAGTGGTGTCCGACACCATAGTGGACGTTATTGAGTGCACTTATTCAATCCCACAATGCACCGCAATAACGAGTGTACAACCGACGTACGCTCAACGGTGTCCGATTTCACTCACTCGTTTTCATTCACTTCAAGTGAACAGTATTAGTAGTGGACTAACGTAGGCAATAGTTAATGAGGAAAAAAAAATTCCCCTCAGAAAGTCCCTGCTCGTAGTACTTTGTCAATGTTCAGGGACTTTCGGGGGTGGGACTTGGGCGCTGAACATGCTGATTGGTTGAGTTCACGCAGCATTTTATTCCAACCACCATTTTTAAAAGTCTGTTGCAATGCGCGCAGTAAGAGTTCTTTACTATTCGAATCAACAATGGAGTTTAAAAAATACGACAGATGACGAGGTTCAGGCTTATATGCGGAGGACCAAATACAGACTAATTTGTCACCGGACATATTTCCCTAATCTTCACAGTAATTTAGACCACGATGGAAACGCAGACGGGGCGGGGGATCCTGGGACAAATTGTTCTGAGTAATTTCGGTGGAAACGCGGCTATGGAGAGTTCAGATCTAACCCTGGTGTAACACACCTGTCTGTAATTATCAAGCGCATTTGTGTTTTATCAGGGTTGCAGATAAACTTTGCAGGAGAGTAGGTGTCCAGGAACAGGTTTGGGCACCCTTGCAGTGCAGTCTTGTTTCCTTGTTGTGATTCATATGGGAGCTGGGTGGTTTGGTTAAAATTTTTGAAAGAATATTTTGAAATCCTTATGGAGATGAAATAAATGCGAAAAAAATACGTCAGGAAGCAATATTCTATAATGGTTGAATAAACAGCTAGCCTGGGAAAACCCAGACAAGTACGGCAAATTTAGATTTGCTCTGAAAGTTAGTCTGGCAAAGAGCTCATTCAAGCCCATTTCCAATCCGCCGAAATCGAGGCACCAATCAGAAACGTTGGGGCGGGCTTTACACGATGACGACAGCGCTGGGATTTTGAAGCAGATTTTGTAGCCTACATTACAAAGATGGATGCCGCCGTCGAACATCACTCGTTCGAATCAGCTATCGCGTCTGTTTTAAGCGATTTGAACGTTTCCTTTTTGTTAAAAACCGAGCAAAGAACAACACTCGGAGATTCTCCGCCGCTCTGCATACGTCATCTCCTTCATCGCTCTGATTGGGTTTAGGTCTATCCGCAACGTCCGTTGGGGACGCCCTCTGGAAATGATTTGTCTATGACGCTTTGCCAGACCATAACTCAGCTGAGAATGGTCTGGTTTTAACCAGGCTAATAAACAGCATCATGGAAAAGCAACCCGATGTCTTACCTGACTTAAGTAGCAGAGCCAGAGCTCTCAGGCCCACCATCATCATCTTGGCTTCATTATGATACACTGAAAGCACCTTAAGAATCTGCCTATGAACAAACATGCAAACACTCACATAAACCTGGTGAACATGGATAGCAGCAATGAATTCATTAATAAACCGGTTTGAGTGTCTCTAGAGGAATCTATGTTCCAGATTCCATTCAAACTGGCAGTTATCCGTGTCAGCCAATCACGTTCAGAAGAATAGCCTGGATTAGATCCTACCTGTCTTTTTTAAAAGTGCCTTTAAAAGTTGTCTTTTTTTCTGTTTTTGTTAAATAATCAGTTCAGTACGATTGGAACATACAATTTGCAATACCATATAATAATATGATATGCCACAAGGTTCGGTCTTGAGCCCTTTTTTGTTTTTCTTGTATGCTCTGTTCAGTTTCCCACATTCTTCGAAATATCTTCCTTTGTGTTCAGCAGAACAAAGAAAGTTATACAGGTTTGGAACAACCCGAGGGTGATTAAATGATGACAGAATTTTAATTTTTGGGTAAACTTTCCCTTTAAGGCACTTTCTTTATAAAGCTATTCTGGAACAATATGTACTGCGTAAAGTACTATAGAAATAAACTAAATTGATGCACGATTATTTTATAGGCATCAATCCTCCTAGTCAATTACTTTTAATCTTAACCAGTGGAACAAAAAAATTCTCTTTTACTTTTGTACTTTCAGTTTTTTGTAGAATGATACAGAGAGTGGCTTATTGAAGGAAGGCAATGATAATTATCCTTTAAACTACTGAAAGTTGCTTCAATTACATAGTAAACAGGAATGTATGGCCATTATATAAGCTCATAGAAATAACTCGGGCTTACTTGTGCACCTCTATAAACTCATAGTCCACTGGGTTGGTCAGACTTTCCAGAGTGGTTGGACAGATCTCCATCAGACGACACAGCAGAGACCAGCCAACCTGCAGTGTGTTCAAAGCAGTAAATCAGCAGTAATCACTTTTCTTATAGTCAATAAAGCTGAAATAAAATTTACTCCAAGAAATATGTTAGAAATAACAGTTTTTCTTTCATTTACTATTTGTCCTTCTAAACCCGCATGACTTTAGCCTCATTCAGACTGTCAGTCCAAATCTGAATTTTGTGCATATTTAGCAAAAAAAAAAAAAAAAAAAAAGTGTAATCACATGCAATTCATTTGTGGTTTGAAATCACATGTGACTTTCAGCATGTTTCTTATAACAACGTCTGAAGTTACATAAAACGCGTGTTCAAACGCCAAATATGATTACAGCAATCAGAGTAAAACGGATTTCAAGAAATGCATGATTTGGATTTGGACTGACAGTGTGAACGTAGCCTTTGAGAGGTCATTGTAGTATTGTAGAGTTTCAGAACTCAAAACTTCCCCCGTTAGTCCAAAAACAGCTTTTATTTAAACCAAGCTCCGAAAACAACTCGTTTCGGTTTTTGTCACATTAGGATGTAATAGTGCGTCGAAAGATGCCTCTGCAGAATCAGATCAACGCCTACTCTACATCATCATGTCTTTGGCCCCGCCCACTGGTGCGTTAGTGAGATGAGAAGGAGAGAAAAGAGATACAGGACTACAAATAACTTTACCTTCCAAAGGAATGTGGTTGTCTATTCTCAACTATGTGAATGTCTCAGTTGAGCATTATTTGTTTGTTCGACACATTTCACTGTGAATTATTTGGTCAATCAGTCGCAATTTCGGCGCAGGCTTTGCAAACAGATATGAAAATATGGATTCAATAGTAATGCGACAACATGTAAATAACCGTGTTAATTCTAATGCCTGATCTGTGATCAGTGATTTCTGATATGTAATGATTCATGCAGTCAGATGTTCTTTGTCTCAAAATCACTTATTGCTGTTTATCAGTAAATCAAGCCAGTGATTAAACGGCCAACTTCACATTGTTGCTCTTAGTAGCATGAAAATTATCTGTTATTTAAATTGTGATTAAATAATATAGAGAAAGCGATTAAAGAACCATCCTTTTATAATCACTGGAGCTGTCAATCACACAGCGCGCGTTTACCAGTGACTGAGTTCTGGACTTTCACCAAAACTCCCGTTATAATCAATGGCGCTGTCTTCACTGCACAACGAATCTCTTGTACATCGCATTTGAACTGTTGATTATGATGAAAGCATTCATGAGAGTGCAGAAATCACAAGATCACTGCATGCATGCGCTCAATGTGTCTGTCATCGGCTACAATGCTCATACTTTCATGTACTGGTAGATCTAAATAAAATGCTAATCTGCACTTTTCACGATTAGTTAACCTCGATAGCTTTAATAGTAAAAACGTAGTAAAAGTTTTAGAGAGTTCCACATGTAATACTTATTGCAAAGATTTCAACCAATCACAGTTTACACTTGTAAGCCCGACTAAATCGGCCCAATGGCGGCATTCGGTCCGCGGGGAAGGTCTCTGCGTGTTACTGTCTTTCCGCGTGGCAAAGTAATGTATTTTCATGTATTAAAGCAGCACCAGGTAACTTTTCAACCTTCATAATATATTTCCAAGTCTCTTGTGATGGTACATCGACTTACAATAGGTTGAATGACACGTCTGCCATAGCCTGACGGGGTCTGTAGCGTTTTTAATCGTACTTTTAAACTTTCGGGTTTCGGGTAGTAACCGGCGAACAAAGAGAACTACAAAATTCGACTGCTTTACAGCATATACGTCACTTCCACCACCACCCCCACTTCCTTAAAATCGGACGTGCGAGCCAAATGTTATAGTCATGGCCGAAGCAGCACAGAAAAACAAGAAAGCAAAGATTTTATCGGAGCAAAGCAAAAAGAGAAAAAGAGAAAGTGATCGCGTTAAAGGCAGAACGAGGATCAACATTGGGCCAGAGTTTTCTCGCTGGCGTGAGCTGAAGGAGGAGGAGGGGTGCCCGACCGATGCGGACTTGGCTGTCATGCTTTTGGACTAGTAAGTAAGTATACTGCTTGCATACAATCTCTTTGTTTTTTTGTCTGCCTTTGTTTTATTATATTATAATATTGACGATATATGGTTATTATCAACCACTCAAACATTGCATTGAAGTATCATATAGATTCAGTAAAACGGTAACCAATAGACTAGGCTACTATAATGACGCTGGCTTGTAAACGTGATCATCGCGATCATTTGTCGTTAGAAAAAAAAAACAAAAAAACATGAAATTATATTCATATGACATGCTGAAATATATGCCACTGTACCTGGGATGAAGACATTTCATACGCGACGCAAGCAGAACACCTGCATGTGACCTCCTCCTACAGTGTTCAGGGCTATCACGGTTGTCAACAAATGCACGCGCATGTAGGATGAGAGTTTACGACAGTAGTAGAGGACAATACTGTTTCCCAACTGTAGGGGGACCCCGAGAGCAAAAAGTTCCCTGGTGTTACTTTGACTCGTTATTTCATCTGACTCCATAAATGAAAAGGTTTTAATGATATCTGTGCATCATTAAATGTGAGCGAATGTTTGACTATTCTTTTTAACTCTTTACTGAAAACAATGTCAGAGTACGTTAGAATAAATGGATCTCATGTACTGCATTGAGGTGCTACTGATTTGCCTGGAAGACACCCTCATTTGTGTACAGGTTATCCCTAAAACTCTTAAATACTCATTACCTTTTGGTTTACCTCTTTGGGAATGAGACATTTGTACCAATCGCACTGAGACATTTCAAATGATACCAAACATGTGTAATACTGTACGATAATTATTCACATTAAACCATATAGATTTTTGGGTGAATTTCAGGTGATCTCAGCATGAAAGAGAGAGAGGGAACGGGGGAATGGGGGGTCAAGGGAAAAGATGTAGATTAGGATTGTTTAGGTGAGACTTGCATCTCGAATGTTGGAGAAAACTTCACAAGAGAGACTTCAAATGTTTATTTCCAGCAAGGTCCTTTGTCTCCTCAGGGAGAGGTTGCTCCTCAAACAGACTGCCCGGCATTTCCTAATTTCTCAAGTCTTACACACTGAAGTCTCACAGCAGACACACCCCTTCAAACAGAGCGTTCAAATCAGAGAAGGAAAAGTGCCTTTTATTTCCTAATTATGACCGTTTTTATGTAAAAATCATACTAACACTATACGTGCACCTAAGGAAACATTAAAATAAAAAAGCAGTTGACCCCTTTACATTCATAAAATGACAGAGAATTGGGGGGGGGGGGGTGCACAGTATCTAATTTTATGGTATTTTCAAGCTTGAAAGTCTCACTCCCTCCCTATTTCCTTTCATTATGGAAAAGAGCAGCGTGAACATTCTTCTCAATATCTCCTTTTGTGTCCCATGGTAAAATAAAAGTCATATGGTTTAGAATAACATGAGTGAACGCAGTGCTCGAAGTGGGCGAGTACGGACCGGTACGCACTTTTATATTTTAAGCTGTAGCGTAACAGTAATTCAAACACGTTGCCGGTGCCAGGGGCGTCACTGGGCCCTTTTTGTACTCAACCACCCATCGGTCTGCAGCGGGACAGCGCCAGCGTCAGAAGCAGAGGACAAGGTGTGTGTTTATCCATATTTTCATGATATCTGCATCTGCAGTTCTTTGTCATAAATCCCGTTTACATAATGTAATGTGGGAGACAGTTTCTCATGAGTCCACTGTAAAGTTTGCGCTGCATTCACCCCTCATCACAAATTGTTTTCCTCAAGCGAAAATGGAACGTGGATGTTATTTTCATTCGAAATTATTTTTTATGTGGCATTAACCTCATGCTAAGTAATGGTTTTAAAGATAAAAATCACACTGTAAAAATGATTTGTTGGTTGAACTTAAAGTAGCCTAACCAGTTTGCCTTAAAAATGTTAGTTCATTTTTAACAAAAAATTTGAGTAGATACAAAATAATGTTATCTGAACAATGTTTGTGAAAGTAAGCTGATTTGACAACATTTTTTGAAAAGTTGTAACAAATCAACAAAATATTGTTTACAGTGCAGACAGCACTGATTTAAACAACTTATCAGAGTGAATGACAGAAACACCATGTAGTTATTTCGTTCTACTAAATAATGACCCAGCAGTTGATTGTGACATTTATAGCCTTAGAGTTAAGGGATCTGAGTTTTTTGGTGTCACTTTGAATTATAGAAGTGGCAGATTGATAGATTCACATTAGATAGATAGATTCCACTTCAAGCACTGGGTGAACTATTAAGCATTTGCAAGGAAATTTGTGCAGCCAAAACAATGACGACTACCTGCTGAACTTTGCTGTTGAGATGCTCTGACAGCACCAGCATCAGAGGCACATGGACGTTTTGATCCGCAAACAGCTCAACTGCAGGACAAAAGAAGAACACAAATCTAAAAATAGCTGTCCCACTGGAAAAAGCACAGAGAGGGGGGTCTGAAAGTTTGCATTGCTCTCAGTCTATATGAATGTATTAAGACTAGTGTAAAGCGTCAAAAATGTTAACAAAGGGCTACAGATTTCCAGTTTGAGAGGTCATGAGAACTCACCACAGTGATCTGTGTGGGACAGGAACAGCAGGTCCTGTATGATCTGGACCATAGTGCCCAGCTGTTTCCCCTCTTGAAGATTCATCCTCACCAGCAGCTTCTTCAGCCTGATCCCCAACTCCTCTTTATCAGCCATGATCTTCTGCTATCTGACATCAAACTGAGCTTTAAAGCCCCTTCTGATCCTCACTGACCATGTGGACACAACATTGCTGCTGCAGACCATCATCTGTTTCACAGCGCACACGCTCTTCTGACATGTTTATGCAAATCACAACACGAGTTATTCTACAGTAGAGACTGATATGACTAATCTTTAGTTCCCGATTTCATTCTCGGCTTGGTAAAGAAGAGATCCTGGTCATGTTAGCAGCTGCTGTGGTCCTCGCGCTGCGTTATGAATCATATGACTGCAAGAATTCACAAACTTCCTGTTCGAGAGCACAAGTGAAAGCAAGAAACCCGAGTCTCATATTAAAGCGAATGGCACCCAGAAAAGCGTCTTGCTGGTAGGTTACAGAGGGAGAAGACAAATATGTGCATTTCAGTTAGTTCACATGCGTAACGTGTATTGTTCATTTTTAGCACGTTAGCTATATTGCTACAGTATGTGTACGTGTGCATAGGACGGGTACGTTCATGTTTTATGAATCAATATTTTTATGATTCTGAATAAAGGTACTAAAAATATTTAATGGAATACTAATAAATACGTATCAACGGAAATATGTACAGTATTTCGCGACTTTTTAATTTCGATGTATTTTTGTAGTAGCTAAACATAGCAAAAGATCGAGTTTACAGTCGGTGAACGCTTTTTACATGCACGCTACACTTAATATCGCGATTTCGACTCGAGTTTCTTTTCTATTATAATCGGAGTTTGTACCGAGTTTGTTTAAAGTCCAATTCATTTTAGCGAATCGGTTCGTTCAAAGAGTTCGCCACAGCGAACCGATTCCTAAAATGATTCAGTGATTCATTTGAATCCGATTTAGTAGTCCGCTGTGTTAGTGCGTCATATACGTATTATTTTAAGTAGCAAAAGAAATAACCATGTAGTCCATCACTAGATGTTATATTGTGCCAACTGCAAATGCTAGCCTACTATATCGAGTCATTCGCAGACGATAATACGAGTCGGTTCGACTGAATTATTACATAGAACCGATTCAAAATAACGATTTGTTTGCTAATCACTGTTAAACTGTATTGTTGAATATTCATAGCCTTTTCCACAACATCAGATTGATTTTGCTGTTCAGTGCATGTGTTAAGGAATCTCTCATAAATAGTGCTTTGCAAGAATTTTAGCATAGGCCTTAACAGTATAACCACAATATTTAATTAGCAAATGTTTCACTGTGGTTTGAGGTGTGTGCAATGTCAACGTGGTCATTCTGGGTTGGGCAAGGTAATGGCTTTTGTTGATCATGTGATGATCTCAAGGTGTTTTCTTTGTCATAGGAGACAATGTGCATAATCTCTAGAGAATGGAGGAGCTGATAGGAGACAGGAGAGTTGAGGACGAAAGGAGTTTGATAAAAACGCCATCCAATGTCCAAACCAACTACCAAGACAATGACGTGCCCACACCCACAGATCAGATCCAGCACGCCACCACGCCATGTTTCGTGTACACCCTGGCTTTCTTCTCGGCTCTGGGTGGATTCCTGTTTGGCTATGACACAGGAGTGGTGTCTGGAGCCATGCTTCTGCTGAAGAGAGAGATGAACCTGAGCTCTCTGTGGCAGGAGCTTCTGGTCTCCATCACTGTTGGCGCCGCGGCTGTTTCCGCTCTGGCTGGAGGGTTTCTCAACGGGCTTTTCGGCCGGAGAATCTGCATTCTGCTCGCTAGCTTCATCTTCTCTGCTGGAGGAATCCTCCTGAGTGTCGCACACAGCAAAGAGGTTCTTCTGTGTGGAAGGCTCACGGTTGGCCTTGGCATAGGTAGTTCATTCTGTAGCCTTTATACTGCAGTATATGTAGAGCTGTTTGAATTCAGTTTGTGTCCTGCTTTCACGTCTTCTGTTGTTTTTAGGAATTGCATCCATGACTGTGCCCGTGTACATCGCTGAGGTGTCCCCTTCTCATCTCCGAGGTCAGCTGGTCACCATTAACACTCTGTTTATCACTGGTGGGCAGTTCGTAGCCAGCGTGGTGGACGGGCTCTTTAGCTACCTGCCCCATGATGGCTGGAGGTGGGTTCAAATGGAAGCTTTACCTCTTAAATCTTTTTCTGTATAAAAAAACAAACAATACTTTTTTATATATATTTATTGTGCTACAACAGGTAAATTTTTTCTACCCATCAGCTCAGAATTGTCTACTTTGAGTGGCAAAAATGCTGCAAAACAATACGATTCATAAAAAGACCTCTATAGTTTTGTATTATTAATTTATTTTTAATAAAATATATGTAATTAATATTATATACCTGTCAATATTTATGCAAAATATTCAAAAACTATTATTTCAGTTTTAGTAATTTCAGTATACTTAATAACTTATTTGATATCATTTAGTTGCCAAGTCGACATATTACTTTTTAATAACAGTTTTTTAAAGCTTAATATTTATAAGTTTTAGTTAACAATAAAAACACTGAGTGACCAGACTTATTGCCAAAACACCTTACCAACTGCATAGCAACACCCTGGCAACAATATTTCAATCTTCTGTTTATTGAGCTATAGTGATAGTAAGATGCTTCAGACATTCTCTAGGAAAAGTACCGTAGAGTTAAAAATTCAAATGAGGTGCAAAAGGACTTGTTGTAATCGTTTTTGAATGTTTTTTGTGTTTATGTATAGATATATGTTGGGTTTGTCTGTTGTTCCCGCCGTCCTGCAGTTCACGGGGTTCCTCTTCCTCCCCGAGAGTCCTCGCTGGCTCCTGCAGAACGGAGAGACCCAGAAGGCTCGGCTGGTGCTCCGGCGGATCCGCGGAGGAGTTGATGCGGAGGAAGAGTATGAGAGCATACGGAGGAGCATTGAGGAGGAGAGGAATGAATCTTCTGGTGAGATCATCATGACATCACATCAATACTGGATTCAGTGCTTCCACCATCACAGAAAACCTGGAGAATGTCTTATACAGTAGTCAACTTCTGAAGTGGAGCAAAACCTTTCATCAAACTTATACATGAATTTTGAACAATACCCGTTCTGGTCTTAGGACAACTTTGATGAACTTCATGTTGACTACTGTATTAAATTGTGTTTTTCAGGCCATGGCTCTCAAGCCATAGTAATAGCAGATTTGTCTGTGAATCATTCCTTTGAAGTGAATTTTGAGTGAATAATTTACTATTTATATTCATTTTTAATACATACTTATACAGTACTGGTCAATAGTTTGGAATAATTCAGATTTTTAATGTATTTGAAAGAAGTCTCCAAGGCTGCATTTATTTGATCAAAAATACAGTTTAATAAAAATATCGTGAATTATCATTACAATTTAAAATAACTGTTTTCTAGATTTTAAAATGTAATTTATTCCTGTGATCAAAGCTGTATTTTCAGCATCATTACCCCAGTCTTCAGTGTCACATGATATAATTTGCTGCTAAATTATTCATAATTATTATTATTATTATCAAATAAACGTTGAAAACAATGTTTTTGCTTTTTAATATTCTTGTGAAAACCGTGATATATATTTTTTCAGGATCCTTTTATGAATAGAAAGTTCAAAGAACAGCCTTTATTTGAAATTGCTATGTTTTGTAACATTATAAATGTCTTTACTGTCACTTTTGATCAGTTGATGTGTCCATGTTGAATATTTTACTTTTCAATGGTAGTGTTTTACAGTTCCACAAAAATATTAAGCAGCAAGAAATGTATCTTGAGCAGCAAATCATCATATTAGAGTGATTTCTGAAGGATCATGTGACACTGAAGACTGGGGTAATGATGCTGAAATTCAGCTTTGATCACAGGAATAAATTACATTTTAAAATCTTCTATCTATAAATAAAAAATAGTTTTTTTATTTATTTAATATTTCACAATGTTTCGGTTTTTACTGTATTTTGGATCGAATAAATGTAGACTTAGTGAGCAGAAGAGACTTCTTTCAAAAACATGAATAAATCTTAATTTTTATTCCAAACTTTTGCAAATGAGGAATTCAGTGAACCGATTCATCCTAAGCGACATGAAGTTCACAAATTACTCTGAAAAACTCATTAGTGAATCAAAATGACTAATCAAGTAATCACAAATGACTAGAATTGAATTTGAGTGAACTGTCTGTATAGAACAATGATATAATGTGATTGACTGATGTCCTGATTGGTTATTGAGGATGTAGGTGGTCCGGTGTTGTGGCGAATCCTAACGTACGCTCCGACACGTCGCGCGCTCATCGTGGGATGTGGCCTACAGATGTTCCAGCAGCTCTCGGGAATCAACACGGTCATGTAGGTGACGAGTCACATGACTTTATCATGTGACTCCCTGTAATAAGGCTATATTTCAGAATTGAATATTAGTGTGAATAATTTACTGCATACTACTACAGTTTACACAGTCTACTTCATTGTTTTTAAGTAGAGTTGTTCTCAAGGCATGTTCACATTAGCGAAATTTCGGCAAAAAAAGGTCCTTTGTCAATAGTGAAGTGATGCTTACTACATACTTTGCAGTGTACACTGTATACTGTGACGCTATATACATATGTACATTTGTGTACATTTTAAAAAGTAGTATGATACAGAAAATATGCATACTGCAGAAAAAGTGTGAGTAGTGTGGTAACATGCCATTTTGAACATAACTCCAGTAGTAAGAGTGTATGAAGGGAATGAGATGATGTGTTTGGATGCTGCAGGTACTACAGTGCCACCATTATTCAGATGTCTGGCGTGCGGGACGATCACATGGCCATCTGGCTGGCGGCCGCCACAGCCTTCACCAACTTCATGTTCACTCTGCTGGGCGTTTGGCTCGTGGAGAGGGTGGGCCGCAGGAAGCTGACTCTAGGAAGCATACTAGGTGAGGATTCAGAAGCACAGACACACACATGGGTTCTCACCATGGACTGTAACAAAGATGGCCGACTCGTCTCCACTTCCTCACACTGTAGAAAAATGAAGCCGAAATATCCCTGAAAACTTGAACACGTACGTCAGTGTGATAAGAACGACCTAAAATGGCAGAAACCACCTTCAGAAAGAAATAATTTAAAGTGTAATTGTAATTAATTGAAGTATGTAGTACTGATGGCTTGCTGTGAATTCCTCAGGAACTGCTGTGAGTCTGATGGTTCTCGCTGCTGGTTTTCTGCTCTCGGCTCAGGCGTCTCCACCCGTGACCTTTCACCCTACTGACTCCCTCCACAACTCCACATGCATTCATTATGGGTGAGTTTTACATAGTAGTAGACTAGATTGACCTAAGGATTGGACCTGGATTAGGACTGTGTCCACAAATTAGAAAAAAAATTAAGACAATGCAATATACCATACAATATGTTTGAAGATAACTGCTGAATATTAAGATATATACAAATATAGAAGCAGTTTGAGAGTGTTAGTCCATGTCATAACCAGACGCGAGTTAAGAGTCCAGCGACGAGCAGTTGTTTCTGTTCACACCGGACCTCACACGACTGTGGGATCACATCAATCTAAAACCACAGCCAATCAGAAGAGCGTGTGGGCGGAGTCTCTCTGCAAACGCATTGCACTCGCAACCAAATCAATAATTATATAATGAAATTCACAAATATTACACCATTTTAACATTATAATACATACTGAGAGACTGAAACAATCTTGTTTTTTGTTCACACTGAGTTCACAGTTAAAGGGTTTGTTCACCCAAAAATGAAAATTCTGTCATCATCTACTCACCCTCATGTCCTTTCACGTTCCTCTTGATTTTTAATGAAATCGGAGAGCTTTCTGTCCCTCCATTGACAGCTACGCAAATGACACTTTGACGCATCAAAAAGTTCATAAGGGATCGTATAAAATAATCCATATTAATTGAGCGGTTTAGTCCAAATATTCTGGAGACACGATTGATCATATGATGAACAGATTGAATTTAGGCTTTTATTCACATTTAAACATTCATCAACTCACATCAGCTCAAGCATGTTTGATTGACGTGCAAGAACCAATGAGGTTCATTCTCGTGTTACCAGTGGTGGAGGAAGTACTGAATCTCAGTACTTAAGTAAAAGTACAAAAAACCAGAGACATATTTACTTTAGTAAAAGTAGAAGTACCACAATGACAACCCTACTTAAGTAAAAAGTAAAAAGTACCTGATTTTAAATGTACTTTAAGTATTAAAAGTAAAAGTACTTGCATAACAATTTATTCTCTTAATGTCTATATTCTAATGATTAATAAAACAGTTAATTCTAACTCATTCAACCCAATACTCATATAATGATGTTCAATATGATGGAAAAGCAGTTATATTTTAAGTTTTTGTCACCATTTCTGAACAAGCTTGCAATTAGGCAATATACACATCAAGCTTACTATATAGCCTACCCTTACTATATACGGTATTTATATATTAGGGGTGGGTGAAAAAATCGATCCATCGATGCATCGCGATTCTCTCTCCAACGATTCTGGATCGATTCTGAGCTTAGTTTTTAACCAGATGTGCGATGACGTTGAGTTTGCTTTAGAAACACCCGTATTCTGCTTGCTTCCAATTCCTCACACACATACACCACTCGAACCTTCCGTAAATAATCTTTCATAAAGTTCGGAAAGGTTGAAGCGAATTGACATTCACAGGCTTCATTGCACAGGATACGCTGTGAGAGACGCGCGCTTTCTTTGATGTTACACTTGAAGTGTGCTGTCTCGCCCGTCGGTATTTTCCTTACAAATGCTCTACGAAGTCATCATTTATGTGGTTTGGAATGCAGTGGACTTTATATTTAAAATATGAACCTCACTAACAGAAGGCTGCTTTCAATTTCAAATGCTGAAGCGCGCTTTGTTTGTGAGGCTGCTCGCGCCGCTGTGCGACTCCGTGTAGTGGTTTAATGTACTTGTGCAAAATTAACGTAAACACAGCCAGTTATGTCTTAAGGGATTAAACGGACAGGACACACCGCATTACTTCTTTTATTTCAAAAGAGATGCGTGCGTGAATGCAGCTTAATAGATCTCCCGCAGCCTATGATGTCATAGTAAAAAACAACAGTAAAGATGAAGAAAAATCACTCACAGTTCTTGAATGGAAAACGTTCAGATAATCTATAGGCTACTGAAAGCACTTTTTGTTTGTTGTTTGTTATATTTTTCTATGCTCCTCTTTATTATTTGTTATATTAGTTAGCCTAGTTTAAAATTCTTAACATACAACTGTTTTAATAAAAAACAATTAATTTGTAATAATTTTTTAAAAAGTACTTAATTACTTATGTAAACTAATGAATTAATAGAGGGGGGGGTAGATAAAGAATCGTTCTGGAATCGGATCGTGACTCCCAGAATCGGAATCGGATCGGATCGTGAGGTGACCAAAGATTCCCACCCCTAATATATATATATATAACACATATTATGTTAAAACGCCGTACATGACGGCGTTTGGCTGTAAACGCTATTCATTTATGGCGTAATTCTGAACCTCTTGGCTTGCCATACTAAGCCTAACCAAACGTATAATACACACGCACCCCACATCACTACTAAACCTACCTTTATTTTACTGTCTATGAAACCTACCAATGCGTTTCCTATGCATGTAAAAACTAATTTTCACGTATAAATTGCACGATAAACACACTGCGTGTTATAGAGACGCATTTAGTGTGACCGGGTTGATATATCTATGGCAACCAAACTTCACTGGTGAGACCGAAACGTGCGATGAACGGACGGTCAGGATGACGTTTTGACAGAGGGGAAAACTGATCAGAAAATGTAACGAAAATGTAACAGAACGTTGTAGAAATGTAGTGGAGTAGAAAGTATAATAATTGTTGCAAAATGTAACGAAGTAAAAGTAAAAAGTATGCACTATTGATTCTACTTAAGTAAAGTACAGATACGTGAAAAAATTACTTAAGTAAAGTAACGAAGTATTTGTACTTCGTTACATTCCACCACTGCGTGTTACGCATCACGTTTGAGCTTCAGCAAGAACCAATGAGGTTCATTCTCGTGTTACGCATCATGTTTGAGCTTCAGCAAGAACCAATGAGGTTCATTCTCGTGTTACGCATCATGTTTGAGCTTCAGCAAGAACCAATGAGGTTCATTCTCGTGTTACGCATCATGTTTGAGTTTCTGCAAGAACCAATGAGGTTCATTCTCGTGTTACGCATCACGTTTGAGCTTCAGCAAGAACCAATGAGGTTCATTCTCGTGTTACGCATCACGTTTGAGCTTCAGCAAGAACCAATGAGGTTCATTCTCTTGTTACGCATCACGTTTGAGCTTCAGCAAGAACCAATGAGGTTCATTCTCATGTTACGCATCACGTTTGAGCTTCAGCAAGAACCAATGAGGTTCATTCTGGTGTTACGCATCACGTTTGAGCTTCAGCAAGAACCAATGAGGTTCATTCTCATGTTACGCATCACGTTTGAGCTTCAGCAAGAACCAATGAGGTTCATTCTCGTGTTACGCATCATGTTTGAGCTTCAGCAAGAACCAATGAGGTTCATTCTCATGTTACGCATCACGTTTGAGCTTCTGCAAGAACCAATGAGGTTCATTCTCGTGTTACGCATCATGTTTGAGTTTCAGCAAGAACCAATGAGGTTCATTCTCGTGTTACGCATCACGTTTGAGTTTCTGCAAGAACCAATGAGGTTCATTCTCGTGTTACGCATCACGTTTGAGCTTCAGCAAGAACCAATGAGGTTCATTCTCGTGTTACGCATCATGTTTGAGCTTCAGCAAGAACCAATGAGGTTCATTCTCGTGTTACGCATCATGTTTGAGCTTCAGCAAGAACCAATGAGGTTCATTCTCGTGTTACGCATCATGTTTGAGTTTCTGCAAGAACCAATGAGGTTCATTCTCGTGTTACGCAGCACGTTTGAGCTTCAGCAAGAACCAATGAGGTTCATTCTCGTGTTACGCATCATGTTTGAGCTTCAGCAAGAACCAATGAGGTTCATTCTCGTGTTACGCATCATGTTTGAGTTTCTGCAAGAACCAATGAGGTTCATTCTCGTGTTACGCATCACGTTTGAGCTTCAGCAAGAACCAATGAGGTTCATTCTCATGTTACGCATCACGTTTGAGCTTCAGCAAGAACCAATGAGGTTCATTCTCGTGTTACGCATCATGTTTGAGCTTCAGCAAGAACCAATGAGGTTCATTCTCGTGTTACGCAGCACGTTTGAGCTTCAGCAAGAACCAATGAGGTTCATTCTCGTGTTACGCATCATGTTTGAGCTTCAGCAAGAACCAATGAGGTTCATTCTCGTGTTACGCATCATGTTTGAGCTTCAGCAAGAACCAATGAGGTTCATTCTCGTGTTACGCATCATGTTTGAGCTTCAGCAAGAACCAATGAGGTTCATTCTCGTGTTACGCATCATGTTTGAGCTTCAGCAAGAACCAATGAGGTTCATTCTCGTGTTACGCATCATGTTTGAGCTTCAGCAAGAACCAATGAGGTTCATTCTCGTGTTACGCATCATGTTTGAGTTTCTGCAAGAACCAATGAGGTTCATTCTCGTGTTACGCATCACGTTTGAGCTTCAGCAAGAACCAATGAGGTTCATTCTCGTGTTACGCATCATGTTTGAGTTTCTGCAAGAACCAATGAGGTTCATTCTCGTGTTACGCAGCACGTTTGAGCTTCAGCAAGAACCAATGAGGTTCATTCTCGTGTTACGCATCATGTTTGAGCTTCAGCAAGAACCAATGAGGTTCATTCTCGTGTTACGCATCATGTTTGAGCTTCAGCAAGAACCAATGAGGTTCATTCTCGTGTTACGCAGCACGTTTGAGCTTCAGCAAGAACCAATGAGGTTCATTCTCATGTTACGCATCATGTTTGAGCTTCCGCAAGAACCAATGAGGTTCATTCTCGTGTTACGCATCACGTTTGAGTTTCTGCAAGAACCAATGAGGTTCATTCTCGTGTTACGCATCACGTTTGAGCTTCAGCAAGAACCAATGAGGTTCATTCTCGTGTTACGCATCACGTTTGAGTTTCTGCAAGAACCAATGAGGTTCATTATCATGTTACGCATCACGTTTGAGCTTCAGCAAGAACCAATGAGGTTCATTCTCGTGTTACGCATCACGTTTGAGTTTCTGCAAGAACCAATGAGGTTCATTCTCATGTTACGCATCACGTTTGAGTTTCTGCAAGAACCAATGAGGTTCATTCTCGTGTTACGCATCATGTTTGAGTTTCTGCAAGAACCAATGAGGTTCATTCTCATGTTACGCATCACGTTTGAGCTTCAGCAAGAACCAATGAGGTTCATTCTCGTGTTACGCATCACGTTTGAGTTTCTGCAAGAACCAATGAGGTTCATTCTCATGTTACGCATCACGTTTGAGTTTCTGCAAGAACCAATGAGGTTCATTCTCGTGTTACGCATCACGTTTGAGCTTCAGCAAGAACCAATGAGGTTCATTCTCGTGTTACGCATCACGTTTGAGTTTCTGCAAGAACCAATGAGGTTCATTCTCATGTTACGCATCACGTTTGAGCTTCAGCAAGAACCAATGAGGTTCATTCTCGTGTTACGCATCACGTTTGAGTTTCTGCAAGAACCAATGAGGTTCATTCTCATGTTACGCATCACGTTTGAGTTTCTGCAAGAACCAATGAGGTTCATTCTCGTGTTACGCATCACGTTTGAGCTTCTGCAAGAACCGAGTTTGTTCTCGCGCGTCAAGCAGGTTCGGTTGAGCTTCTGTTTATGTTCACCGATCAATGTTTATATTTGAATTTGAAACCGCTCAATTCATATGGATTAGTTCTATGATCTCTTTACGCACCTTTTGAAGCATGTAGTTGCGTGGCTGTCAATGGAGGAACAGAAATCTCCCAGATTTCATTAAAATATCTTTATTTGTGTTCCGAAAATGAACAAAAGTCGTATGCGTTTGGAACGACATGAGTGTGAGTAATTAATGACATAATTTTCATTTTGAGGTGAACTAACCCTTTAAGTTTATTTTCAAGATCTCAGGTGAATTATCTCACTTTCAGTATGGCTATAAAAGTCGTGCAAAATTATATTCAAACTCACATTAAATTCTTTTAACATTAAATAAAGTACATAATCAGTACCTGTATGATGTTCGAGTCCCCTGTTGCACTTTGTTAGGACAAAAACTGATGCTTCTGGTTAGGACACTGTGCAAGAGACTCATGTTATCAACAATACTCTGGCACTTTCTCATTCCAACTGTATTACAGCAACCTCTCTGATTTATAAAGCTCTCTTCGGGATCATGGGTAGTGTAGTTCTTCAGCTGGAATTACACTATTATTCAGTTTTGTAAAAACGTTGAAGTCACACTTGTGTGCTTCTACTGAACTTAAAGGGATAATTCTATCATCATTTACAAAGAAATAAAATGAGGGCAAGTAAATGATGACGGACTTTTTATTGTGGTGTGCGCTATATGCCTTTAGCTTATGGTAGATTTATATGTAATTGTTTATTATGTGGATTTTAAGAGACTCTGAATCTTGAATGTTGTGCACTAGTGACTGGAGTTTGTGTCTGTGAAGGTTCTGTGAATCCTGCATGCTGGATCCAACTTGTGGTTTCTGCTACGGTGTGAACGGCACATCAGTGGTCGAGTCCTCGTGTGTGTCTGTATCTGCGGCCAACACTGAGACCTCTGCAGCGGGCAGGTGAAACGTCTGTTCATATCCCTGCCTTTGGGGGAAACTAGTGCACTTTGAACTTAATTCTACCGAATGTGCACTTGAAGTCTACTTCAAATCTAATCAAATCAAACCTGTACTTGCAAATGATAGAATATTAATTAAATAAAAGTGTATTTACTTTCCCTACACTCTTAAATTACATTTTTTTTTAAGTGTACTTTGTTATAATGTCAAACTAAAAGTGATTTTAAATAATTATTTAATAATATTTTGTCAAGAAAGATTGAAGAAGTGCACTTTTTTAATGTGTTGAGTAACATAAAAGCACTTTTAAAATGCTTGATTGTCATTTTAACTGTAGTGTGTTATTTGATATCACATTTAAATACAGTTCATATATTTTAAAAGTACTACATTGCATGCAATTAAGTGTCTGATGACATTACATTCAGTTCACACTTAAAGGTGCTCTATGTAACTTTTCTACTAAAATGAATCGTTTTTTTATTGCCTGTGTGTGAAGGGGTTGTAATCACACATTAAAATGATCCACTTGTCGAGTTTAGCTATTACCTCTGAAGGCCAGTATTCCTATTTCTATGTGAAGTCTCCGGGTCGGATTTACCGCGAAATCCAACGGATGTGACGTGCATGCGCGCTCCCGAGCCTCTCTCCTTATATACAGTCTATTGTAGACGGTCAGGGAGTTACGTCCGGTTAAAGGCGCACGTTTTTCGGCTTATATCTCAGTCAATCTTTGATCAATATTCCCAAGACTCTAATCGTTCGTAGTGCTGGACGGGGCCTTTCGAACGAGCCCACCCCCGAGGTCCAACTCGCCCGGCTCCCCGAGTTATAGCCGTTCGAAATCGGGGGTCCCAGCGAACGGCGATCCGGTAGGCCCGCCACTCTAGCGTTCGGGCAAGGGTTCCCCTGGGACCTCCTCCCCCGAATTTGAGCTCTCTGGGTCTTTGCGTTCCAGAGATACGAGCAATTTTCTTCTGAGATCGTGACGTCACCGGCGTCCGCAATTTTGTAGCGCGCCCGATGGTTTTCTGCTAATATCTCCGCGAAAACACCACCAAAAACTATGTAACTTATATGGTTCTTTTCAGCTCGACTAGATGGTCCCAACGAGCTCGGTGCGATATTTGCGTAATAGACGGTATTGTCTATGAGTTCGAGCACGAGCGCTCTTGTAAAATTTGGTTGCAATCTGAAACATCACCACTAGAGGCCGCTAAAAGTTACATAGAGCACCTTTAAGTGTAACCTTTTTAAAATATTATATTTCCATAGTACTCCTTTTTTTTAAGTATACTAAAGTGACCTTCATTTCCACAAGGGTGCATATGATTTATTAAAAGAAACTTAACCTAAATGTTACATTTCACACCTCTACTTACTTAAATGGACGGTATTATATAGTAGTTTGATTAAGTGTTGTCTTGTTCGTGTTTTCTGGAGGTGTTCTAACGGCACACAGGAGAGCGCAGGACTATTCTGGGCCTATAACTACTGCCCAACGTCATACTCCTGGATCGTTCTGCTGGGTCTCGTCCTGTATCTGGCCTTCTTTGCCCCAGGTGAGAGCTCTCTCAGCAGTGTTCGAACAGTAAGGAACTGTTGATGAAGTTCGAGGCACTGATGTCAGGTTGTGTGTGTGAGCAGGAATGGGTCCGATGCCCTGGACGGTGAACTCTGAGATCTACCCGCTGTGGGCTCGTAGTACTGGGAACGCCTGCTCTGCCGGGGTCAACTGGATCTGTAACGTCCTTGTGTCTCTGACCTTTCTCCATGTGGCCCAGTACCTCACGTACTACGGTACAACACAGGACACACACACACACACACACACACACGACACTGAACACAGCATTTAGGTACTCATACTCAGAGAGTCCACATGCTATCATGAGCATCTGGATTCTGCTATTCGTGCTCGCTGGAATCCAGTACTGCAATACACCACAAAACACACCAATGATTAATGAATGCAAACATTTATGAATAATGACAATGCTGATCTCAACTCGATGACGTGATCATGTTCACTAGGGAGCCTCTGAATGTCCGATCTTTCGCACCAGAGGAACCTTTTCATAGTTCGAGGAACTCCTTTTGGAGGAACTAATTTACTCCTACTTCAGAGTCGGTCTAAACCAGCGCTATAGGAACTGCCAGTGCCGTTAGTGTTCGCTGATTGGCTGAACGCACACGAAACACCAGCACCATTTTTTTAAAAGCGGTGTAAACGCACAGATTATAGTCTATATATTTACTCCACAAACTAACTCTACGAACATGGAAAACAGTGATAGATGGACACTGAGGAGAAAATCCAACGCAATATATAGCAACACTGGACATCAACCACACAACATACACTAATGCCTTTTCATTACGGTCTACTTTCTATGTATAACAGTCCTATCTAAATAACGTATTAGCCAGGTTTCTGTCAAACACAGCACATCTAGGTTATAATCTCTAATCATATCATTAACAATAAGTGCTTTTGAATTTTCAGCAACCCGAGCTTTATCATTTGTTCATCTGTATTGTCTATTTTTTATTTGTTGAACATCAATTACATTTTTACCCTTAAATGGGTTTGGGTTTTTTGTATTGTCTAATTGGGGGAACAGACACAGTCTCTATATCAGGGGTCTCCAACACGTCGCTCGCGAGCTACCAGTAGCTCGTGGCCTGATTGGAAGTAGCTCGCCAGTTCACATATCGCGTCTTTTGCGCGCTCAAGTTCGTTATTTCAAATGTAGGCGCTTGGGCAAGCGAGCTCATAATTGAAGCGACGCGTCAATTGTCATGTGACAAGATCCAACCAATCAGCTTCACCCTTACCGTAACAACATTGAAAGCTCAGTCAACATGAATTTTACTATTAATAATAAAAGATAAGCTAATGTGCATTGTAAATGTCCGTAATTTATCTTTTTTTTTTACTCATTCTTTTCATAAAAATGATTTAAAGGCTGAAATATGTGAGGTTTATCTTTTTATAAAACCTTTTTTGGCAAAACTTTATTTGAACTTGTACATGTTAGTAGATAACATGTTGCAAGACACTCCTTTAAAATCTGGCCATCGTTTTTAATGCTATTATTTTAATGATTATTTAAACAAAAAGAGCATATTGATGCTATTTTTTTGCTATTTGCTGGTTTTCGACATAAAACTTGGTGAATTGATTTTATTTAGTAGTATTTTTTTAACCGGATTCTGTGATAACCGTGGTCATTTTGGTCACTATAATCATGAAAGGAAATTTTCATGCCATTTCATCTCTAGTTATGATGCACTATAAAATCAACTATAATTATGTGTTTACAGTATAATATGCAAAGTACAACTTTCTATAAATTTTTTTTTATCTCTGATTCTGTTCTTTTCTCTGACATTCAAGGGTGACATATATAGGCCTAAAAAAACTCTTTTAGGTCTAAAACAGTTTGGATAGCTGTTAATATGAGTTATGAGACATTATTTAGGAGATGTAAGTATTGTATTACATGAGTAGCTCTCGGCCACTTTCATTTTTAAAAAGTAGCTCTCAAATGAAAAAAGGTTGGAGACCCCTGCTCTATATGATGATGTCCAGGTGAAAGAGGCTCTGTGTGACCATCTGACCTGAGCCCCAGAATCAGATATTCAAGGATCAACTCTGAAACTATTAGTTCAAATCAATAACCTTAATAATAGTAATGACGCTTTACTTGGCAAACACCACAGTTTAACAATGTACACAAACAACTACTAAAATGATAGGAATGTGGTTTCCACTTGTATGTCGACTGTTGTTGAAATGTGAGAATGTTTCTTGTGTCCAGGCGCGTTCTTCCTGTACTCCAGTCTGGCAGTGCTGGGCTTTGTGTTTGTGCTGGGCTGTCTGCCGGAGACCAAGGGTCTGCGCCTGGAGGAGATCGAGTCTCGGTTCGCCCGACGACTCTGCAGCTGTGGAGCCAGCGGGAGTCAGGGCGGTCACTACATCAGGGTAACGGGAGAAAGCGGAGACGTCACGGATGATGACTAGATTCTGCTCTGTCTTTCCTCGTGCTGTGGTTCTCATTCCAGAGATTCAACAGTCTAGTTGACTCACACAGAACTGATTCAGTTCAACTACATTGATTCTCCCTAAACAAAGGAGATTTTATCAAGATGTTCACTGGTGGTTCTGTGGTGATTGTATTTGCACATGTACGGATGAGCAGTGTTTACTTAAGTAATGGTGTTTCATGCACAGCAGGACTGACTGGATTTATGATAGTGTTTGTTATACAAATCAGCGCTCTGGAGTGCGAGCCATGCGCATATATACTAATACATTATTAAACTATGGGGAGTTTGTTCTTTTCACGGTGTATAGAGATGTACATTACTCTTCTTGAAATTCTAATTGTAAACTTTGAACTTTGAAAATGAATTGTGCCCCCAAATCACATTCTCGTATCAAACTCTATTTAGACACACACACGGTCTGAACCCCATATTTTTAAAGGTATAATTCACCCAAAAATGAAAATTCATGTCATTCCAAACATTTCTTTAAGAATTAAATATATTTGTTTCTGAAACAGTGACAGTTTATAGTGACAATGAGCTCCAAAAAATGCACTATAAAAGAACCATAAAACAAACATGAATTTTACATATAATATTTATATAATGTATATAAACATTTGTATAAAAAATATATAATTTAAAATTGAATTAAAAAAAAACATAATGGCAGATTTTTCATTTTGGCTGAGTTGTGGAAGTGGTTTCAGGATGTGGGCAGGGGCTGGTGGTGGTGAACTGGTTTTGCACACTTCGGGCCAGATTTATGAACAGCTTGCACCAGCACAAACCGTTTTTGCCGTTACAAAACTACTGTCAGGATTTACTAAAGACACGCAGTGAAGAATTAGCGCTGTAAAGACGTGGACAGGGTTATTTTTGCGGCTGATCTTATTACATATGCATTTGTAGGAGTTTCCCTTTCAGACGCAAAATTTATGGGAGGGAAATATTTAAATGAATCATGAAAGGTGATTTACTAAGGTTTGTGCTAGTCAGTTTACTGGTGTTTTCGCCACTATTTAACGCTCAAAAAAGCATGTCTTAAACATTTGATGCTGCTTGGTCATTTTGGACCCAAAAAAATGTACGTTGCGTTTTTATTTTTATTTTTTTTGTATTTTTTACTTTATCAAAATGGTACGAAACATGGTAAAGGTTTTGCACTTGCTGTGTGAACACACACACAAACATCATAGACATGATTCGAAAAGGTTAAATGGTCCTGAAAAAAATATATATTTAGGGCCCAAGCCCAAAGGGCGAAGGCCCTATTGTTTTCCTTAGGATTATTTATTAGGGCCCAAGCCTTGAAAAGGCGAAGGCCCTATTGTTTTCCTAAGGATTATTATTATTATTATTATTATTATTTTATCGACTATTCGGGCACTTTTGGGGCTCTTAACGTGCACGAAAACTCTTGAAACTTTGCACACTGGTCAGAACCCGCGGCCATCAGGGCCGGGCTGAAGCTGGTACCCGGGCGTGGCAGGGGGGCTCGACAGCGCCCCCTGGAACGGGGTCCGAAAACTTGGTCCATAAATCAAACACGCTTCCATGTAATAATATGAAACTCGGTACACATATAGATCTCATCGGTTCATATATCCTTTGTACTTTTACTTTTTACCCCAGCCCAACAGGAAGTCGGCTATTATGGTTTGTTTGGAAGCGTATGCCCCTGGAATTCGATATACTCCTCCTAGAGAATTCAACCAATCGCAAGGAAACTCGGTCAGCATGATGTCAAGACATTGAGGATGAAAAATTGCCAGGGGATTTTTCATATCTCGAACGGTTTGGCCGTGGCGAGGAAACGAATTTATGGCGAATAATGGAAACAGGAAGTGTGTTATAACTTCTGCATACATTAACTGATCTTGATGAAACTTCAACAGTATGTTCGCTGTAAGAGGCCGATCACATGGATGTGACTATTGTGAGTCAAAGTTATAGCGCCACCAACTGGCAGCAGGAAGTGTGTCACTTTCTAAATGCTTTTGACAAAAGTGGGGGGGTTAGTTTTATCTACAGTTACAAAACTCAGCGTGTATATTCTTCTCCTCAAGCCAAACAACTTTCTAATTTAAAGTAATTAGCTCCGACCCTCAGAAAGTCAGATATTGTGGTTTGAATAGGGTCATTTTCTCTCTCTCTCTCTCTGAGCCAATATGGCAAGCCGCCTTAACATTTAATCATTTTAACCTACTAGTCTCTATTTTCATGCTACTAGTACTTATTTTTAGATACTAGTATCTATTCCATTAAGTACTGGTACTAATTCATTAGCGACTAGTGCTTATTCTTTAGTACTAGTGCCTATTCTTTAGATACTAGTGCTTATTCTTTAGATATTCTTTTGAATACGTATTAGTAGCTAATGAATAAGTACTGGTATCTATTTAATAGGTACTAGTATCTAATGACTTAGTACTAGTATTTATTGAATAAATACTAGTATCTATTAATAGGTACTAGTATCTAAAAGGTCATTTTCTCTTTCTCTCTCTCTGAGCCAATATGGCAAGCCGTTTTAACATTTAATCATTTTAACCTACTAGTCTCTATTTTCATGCTACTAGTACTTATTTTTTAGATACTAGTATCTATTCCATTAAGTACTAGTACTTATTCATTAGCGACTAGTGCTTATTCTGTTTAGAATATTCAAAGTGCTTATTCAATTTTTTTGCTTATTTATATTTTCAGAGCAGAAAATCCGATTTTTCTGCTTATTCAATATTGCATCTAAAAATGTAAGTGACTTGACGTGTGTGTGTGTGTGTGTGTGTGTGTGTGTGTGTGTGTGTGAGAGAGAGAGATGTGTCTGTTACAGTGACAAGAGTTCAACCCTTTAAGGCCTTGTCTTTTTGGATATATATTTTTTTTATTAAAAAAAATGTGCATACAACCCATATATTTTAAATGTATTGTTTGCTTTAAATTAAATTAAGATTGTATGTTTGGTAATTGAACCTAAATAAATTTTAAACTAAAGTGCTATATTTCAGATCAATATATTTGTTTTCCTTCATTTTAATCAACACTAACTTTATTCTCATCTGAATTATAAAGAATTTATTTCTGTATAAAATAAAAAATCCCGAATAATCCAGACCAACCAGAGCGCACTATTTCTACAACATCATCAGTGCTGAAGCGAAACTACCAGAGCCGTTCGGCAGATAGCAAGCAGATATTTTGTGTCACGTCGTGCACAATAACCCTAAAGGCACCAGGGTGGCGGTGCCACCGGCTTTATATATATATATATATAAATATAGCTGCGAGCAGCGATGAAGGGCCCAAGCCGGCGGCACCGCCACCCCGGTGCCTTTAGGTAACTAAAGGCACCGGGGTTGCGGTGCCACCGGCTTGGGCCCGTAATCGCTGCTCGCAGCTATATTTATTATTATTATTATTATTCTTATTATTTTTCTGCTACCTTTTGGACACTTTTGGAGGCCTTAACATGCTCAAAAACTCCTGAAACTTTGCACACATGTCAGAACCCGCGGCCATCAGGGCCGGGCTGAAGATGGTACCCGGGCGTGGCAGGGGGGCTCGACAGCGCCCCCTGGAACGGGGTCCGAAAACATGGTCCATAAATCAAACACGCTTGCATGTAATAATATGAAACTCGGTACACATGTAGATCTCCTCGTTTCATATATACTTCACACTCTTACTTTTTACCCCAGCCCAAAAGGAAGTCGGCTATTTAGGGTTGTTGGTAAAACACACGCAATGGAATGTGAAATACTCCTCCTAGAGAATTCAAACAAACGGCACGAAACTCGGTCAGCATGAAGTCAAGACATTGAGGATGAAAGTTTGCGAGGGGATTTTTGATATCTCGAACGGTTTGGCCGTGGCGAGGAAACAAAATTATGGCGAGAAACGTGAAACAGGAAGTGTGTCATAACTACTGCATACATTAACTGATCTTGATGAAACTTCAACAGTGTGTTCGTTGTAAGAGCCCGATCACATGGATGTGACTATTGTGAGTCAAAGTTATAGCGCCACCAACTGGCAGCAGGAAGTGTGTCACTTCCTAAATGCTTTGAAATCACCCTCTTATTTTTACCCGATTTGCTTCAAACTTTATGTGTATAATGTAAACACACGGCAGATGTAGACCTGTGAAAGGATTATTGATATCTTAGATACTGTTGCCGTGGCAACACATCAAACTTTAATATTCTTGTTTGATGCTTTTGAGACTCTTAGCATGCTTGAAATTGCATGAAACTCGACAGACACAGGTATGCATATGGTTCAGATCAAGCCGGACAACTTTCTAATTAACTGTCATTAGCTCAGACCAAGAGGAAGTTAGATATTTTGGTTTGAATGTGGATGTTTCTGAGAATTTTCTCTCCCTCTCCCTCTGACAGAGAGAATGCACCCTGCCATTCGTGTGTGTCTGTGTGGGGAGGGGGGGAGGGGCTCTTTTAGTTTAAACACAAAATTATACATAGGGCCATACTGCCCTCTTGTGTCCAAAATTATATTTATATATACATTATACATATATTTGGTATGTGACTGAGGACCGAGAGCTTTTAAATACGGGACATTGATAATGGCCACGTGCAGAGCGCTCGAGGGAATTCCTATGGAAGTAGGAATGAACTAAAAAACGTTCGCTCTGTTCTGCTCGCTCGTCGCCATGGACGCGCACCATTATGAATGCCAGTGCAGCCGCATACTTTTTAGTGTCACTTTAAAATTAGTGCAATAACGGGGCCGATTGCTTGAATTGTGAGTTCAATAGTCTATTATTTTTCACGGAAAACACAACAAAAGAGTACAATGATAGATTCGCTTAAATAGGGGCTTTTACATAAAATAGCCTATTCCGTCATCATCTTTTCAGTCAGCTCTTCACTCTCGTGATTAATGAAATTTGACTCCTGTTGCTGATATTTGCTGCAACTTTCGTTCCGCTCACTATTTAGTAAGCAAACACGCTTCAAATGTGTTTTTATTTTATTTTTGTGTATATATATGTGTGTGTATATATATGTGTGTATATATATATATATATATATATATATATATATATATATATAGCTTATGTTTCAAATATGAGTTAATTAACAATCGTTGGAAAGAATGATACTTTTAATATCACT